TTTTGGGGAATAATGAGCCACCACGTAAGAAGTCCAGCTACCTAGTTGGAGTGACTATGTTGAAAGACTACCTGGAGAGGGAGCAGCACTGAGAGTGCCTTCAGAAAGAGAGGCCCCACCACTCTGGTTTCCCACCTGTGCCCATCCTTGCCCATGAAGGCGTTGGAAATGTGAGTGAAGCTATCTTGGACATTCTAGCTCCAGCTACCACATGACAACAGTCTCATGAGAGAAGACTGTTAGACTAAGAGAAAAAAAATACCCAAATGTCCTCAAGAAAATGACTTCTTGATGTCTCCAAGAATCATGAAAAATATTAAAATGAGTGGCGTTTTAAGGCACTGAGTTTTGTGGTGCTTTGTTACATAGTATCAGATAAATAGCACAAGTAGCTAGGGGACATTTTGAGTGGTAACTTTTTAGTGCAACAGAAATTATAAAACTGATTCAAGCAGAGAAATAATCTAGAAATTCTGCTGTCAATCTCAAGAGTCTGGTGTGAGACAAACTTGTAAACAAACAGTCATAGCATAAGTGGTACCTCTCATTCTGCAGTTGCTTTTGCATTCAACAGTGTCATAGTGATGTTTCCTAATGGGGTATATGGATTTTTCTTTCTTTTTGATTATAGTATTTCTTAGTGTGTGTGCCATAGTTTGCTTAATAGTTCCCACTATTGATAGACATTTACATTCTTTTATGTCTGAGTTTTCCATATTGCAAACAGTGATGCACAAATATGAATATATCTCAGGTAATTTAAACTTGTACTCCAAAATGGCTTTACCAGTTTATGGTACTACCATCCTTGACCATGCATTCTTTGGTTGTTATTTGTAAGGTTGAGAATGGTCATCTTTTACTATTCAAATACAGAAGGTAAGAATATGCTATATAGGAAGTAATATTTATTGGCAGCAAACATGAATTCTGGAATTAGTGAAATGCCTTCAGAAAACTTTCGATTTGTCTGATTATTTAGTAAGGGAGAGAAAAATGCCCAACACATTCTGCCACATCTAAACTCAATATGCTATTGTCAATTTTTTCCTCAAAGGAAACTAGTGGAGAATCAGCTACTGTATCATAAATATGAAACGTGTGTTTAAAAAATTACAGAAGTTAATTAGACTTAAATCTTTTACTATGAATGTATCAATAGAGGAGATAGCAAAGACTGATAGAAGAAGTATGAACTTTATAGACCTGGGGTTTAAATCCTAGCTCTGCCACTTCAGTGTGGTAGTTGATGTGATATGACCCTTTATATTTTTATTCATTTAAAAAACTAGTTTGGAACATGTGGCAAAATGAGTGAGAATATAATTCTTTATAAAGACTGTATGGAATAATACTACCTATCATATTTTGCATCCATTATTCTATTTGAATTTTGCTAGCAGAAATAGAAATTAATACTTCTTTTTGTACATGAGGGTTCAAAAATGACAGAATTCGAAAATGGAGTGCTAGGGTTAGAACCCTGGTCTAATGGCTCCTAGTTTAGCACTCTTTCCTTTAGGTCACATTGCCTGGTGTTCTTTTGGTTCCCTTGTAACTAATTCTTAGTGTTTCCATGTTAGTGTATTTATCTAATGTTCCACCAGAGCCAGCAAAATGTTTAGTCCCTGCTTTGTGAGTAATAGTGGTAAACACTTTTTTTTGCCTCATCCATTTTCATTTAGAGATTACCTCAAGTGAAAAGGAATTTGTTATTCAGAAGAAAGCTAAGCTGATAATATTTTTATATTACAGTGATCCTCAGACTTTTTGTATGAAGCTACTATTTTCATTTCTGAAATAGTATGACCATGTAGTTGTGATAAGAGTCCCTTAGTTGAGGAATATAAAGAATATTGACGAAGATTTTTAGTTCTGTGAGAGAGATAATAATTGGTAGAAGTGTTTGGCATCCTTGTAGGAATACCATCATAACTTGTATAATGGAAATGAAGACAAATCATAAAGACAAGCTACCACTGAAGTCCTTAATGCTCAGTTTTGCTTTATGCTATGAATTTGTTTAGAAAGAAAGAAGGGATTTGATACATGAATAATGCTGATGTTTAAAATTACACTTTCTAAGACAAAATCTAGTTTCAGTTTGAGGACCTTGGAAATTATCTTGAATTCTCTGTATATTTGAAGGGTCAATGTATTATTTAATTTGTGAAACCAAGGGTAGGTTAGTATGTAAGACCTTCAGAGGGTTCTACCAACTGCAACTCTAGAAATTCTTTTACCACTGGTTCTTTTATTACTGTTAATTATTTCATTACTCCTTCTTAAAAGTAAAGTACACATGCACACTTATGTGCTTAAGTCTTAGAGTAGTAAATTATAGGCTCCAGAGAAACGCCTTATGTATGTAACTTTGTTATTTTTCATATTGAGATGTGAAAAAAATAGTTTATTTCCAATTTGAAGAACTATCATTATAATTCTCTCCCTTTGTAGTAATCAAAATGCAAGAAATATAGAACATGGAGATACTTTCAGGAAAGGCTTCATTATTTTTTAGCATGTTTAGATGGCAGATTGTAGACCATTTAAAATTTTTTGTTTTTCTGTAAAAACTATGATGATTCGTCTCTAGCCAAGTCCATTTCTTATCTTGATAGTTTTGTGTGGCTTCTGTTGTGTATAGGAATGTATCAAATGTGAAGGTGACATAACACTTCTTTTTTTGATTTTTTAGATTTTTTAAAGATTTTATTTTTGTTGAACAGTTTTACATTCACAGCAATACTAAGAGGAAGGTACAGATATTTCTCATATACACTCTGCCCCAGCACATGCATAGCCTCTCCTATTGTCAACACCTCTCACCACAGTGGTACATTTGTTACAATTTGTTACAATTGATGAACCTATACTGACAACTCATAATCACCCAAAGACCATATACCTCAGTGTTCTCTCTTGGTATTGTACATTCTATGGGCTTTGACAAATGTTTAATGTCATTTGTCCATCATTATAGTATGATACAGAGTAGTTTTACTGCCCTAAAAATCTTCTGTGCTCCACTTATACATCCCTTCTTCCCCCCCAACCCTGGGCAACTAGTTATCTTTTTATTATCTCCATAGTTTTATCAATACCTTTTCTTTAGTTGTAATCATACTGTACCTAGCCTTTTCAGATTGACCTCTTTCACTTAGCAATGTGCAAGTAATGTGTACTTAAGGTTCCTCCATGTCTTTTCATTGATTGATACCTCCTTTCCTTTTAGCACTGCATAACATTGTTTGAATGTATTCATTTATCCATTCACTTGGTGAAGGCCATCTGAATTGCTTCCAGGTTTTGGTTATTATAAATAAAGTCGCTATAAATATCCATGTGCAGGCTTTTGTGTGGGCATTAAGTATTCAACTCCTTTGGGTAAATACCAGGGAGGGCAATTCCTGGACTGTATGGTAAGAGTATGTTTAGTTTTGTAAGAAACTGCCACACTGACTTCCAGAATGGCTCTACGTTTTTGCATTCCCACCAGCAATTAATGAGAGTTCCTGTAGCTCTACATCCTCACCTGCATTTGATGTTGTCAGTGTTCCAAATCTTGGTCATTCTGATAAGTGTTTAGTGATTTCTCATTGTTTTAATTTGCATTTCCCTGATGGTATATGATGTGGAGCATCTTTTCACATGCTTATTTGCCATCCATATCTCTTCTTTGGTGAGTTGTTTATTAAGATCTTTGGCCCATTTTTTAAATCAGGTTGCTTATTTTCTTGTTGTTGAGTTTTAAGAGTTCTTTGTATATTTTGGCCAACATTCCTTTATCATATGTGCCTTTTGCAAATATTTTCTCCTGGTCCATGGCTTGTTTTCTCATTCTCTTCACAATGTCTTTCACAGAGCAGAATTTTTTAATTTTAATGAAGTCCAGCTTATTAATTATTTCTTTCATGGATTATGCCTTTGGTGTTGCATCTAAAAAGTTGTCACCATACCCAAGGTCATTTAGGTTTTCTCCTGTGTTATCTTCTAGGAGTTTTGTATTTTGCAATTTACATTTAGGTCTGTGATTCATTTTGAGTTAATTTTTGTGAAGGGTGTAAGGTCTTTGCTTATATATATTTGTTTGCATGTGCATGTCCAGTTATCCCAGCGATATTTGAAAAGACTCTTTGCTCCATTTTATTGCCTCTGCTTCTTGGTCAGAGATCATTGACTCTATTTATGTGGACTTTTTCTGGACTCCATTCTGTTCCATTAATCCATTTATCTATTCTTTTGCCAGTACCACGATGTTTTGATTACAGTAGCTGTATATTAAGTCTTATAGTTGGGTAATGTATAGCTTCCAGTTTTGTTCTTCAATACTGTGTTGGCTATTATGGAGCCTTTGCCTTTCCATATAAACTTTAGAATCAGTTTGTTGATATCTACAAAATAACATGCTGAGATTTTTTTTGTTTTGTTTTGTTTTGTTTATGGACTAGGATTGCTTTGAATCTATAAATCAAGTTGGGAAGTACTGACATCTTGACAATATTGAATCATCTTACCCTGAGCCCATTAATTTACTTCTTCTTTGATTTTGTTCATCAGAGTTTTTTAGTTTTCATCACATAGATCTTGTACATATTTTGTTAGATTTATACCAATTTGATTTTTGGGAGGCACTAATGTAAATGATACTGTGATTTGATATTGTGTTTTTAATTTCAAATTTTACTTATTGATTGCTGGTAACAATATATAAGAAAGAGATTGACTTTTATATATGAACCTTGTATCCTCCTTGCTGTAATTGCTTATTAGTTCCAGGAGCTTTTTGTCCATTTAAAAATATTTTCTACATAAATGATCATGTCACCTTTGAATAAAGAAAGTATTATTTATTTCTTCCCAATCTGTATATCATTTATTTCCTTTTTCTTTGCATTAGCTAGTACTTCCAGTGTCATGTTGATGATCATTTCCATTCTTTATCCTCCTTTCTGTGAGATCTATCTCTTAAAATTTTCTGCATTATATATTTTTTGCAGCTCACCAAAGCTCATCGACAAGGTCACATGGTGAAAGTAGATTGGCTGGACAGATTGACATTTAGAGAAATAGAAATGATAAATGAGGTGGGTTGTATCCCTCTTTTTTATTTCAAAATATTTTCTCCAGAATTTTAACTGAAAAAATTTTTAGAAGAACTATTTATTGCCAGGTATCTCTCAAATGTGGGAGCATTGAGGATTACCTCTAGTTGTGAGGTTTATGCTAATAAAAGGAAAGCTTAGGATATCTGCCTTTCTTATATTTTAGTGTTCTCTTGAACCCTGAAATAGGTAGTGGATATCATAAGTGTACTAAATATCATATAAGTGAAGCCCATGTTAATCTTGATGCCTCGCTTGTATGTTCTCTCTTTCTCCATATGGCAGTTTATGTCCAAGTTGATTGGATAAATCTGTCAACATAGTGTCAAAACAACCTCTTCACTTCAGTTACCTTAAGTCATCAATAGCAATTCCTCTCCCCAATTAAGATATTCCTTGTCTTATTTAGTACATATAGGGCTGTGCACACTTAATGAGGTTACATGGTTCAAGTAATTCGTGTGCTTTCTTGATCTTGTGTATTGGTCCAGAATATGTTCAATGAAAAGATGGCTTCAGTGAAACTGTTTACAAAAGTTAGAACGACAAAAAAGTTTTTTATGTACACTAGCACTGAAATACTAGATGTTTGGCCTAACACTCTATGTCTAGAGAGCAGAAATAATGCTTATATATTAATCACATTAGGAGAGAGGAATAGCAATTTTGTGAAATGCGTAGCTTATAGTGATCACCACATGGCACAACTGACTTGATTTGTGTTCTTTCAACAGTTTTCAGCAGGTGGAAAGAGAGAAATTTGTCATTTTACAGTGAACACTTAGAAAAATAAAATTTTGACATTGTTCATTTTTTAAAAACAAATTAGTAGTGTCTAACAACATTTATATTCAGTATGAATACTGGGCATCTTTTCTAAATGTATTCATAATACATTCTTATATACTGAAACTGGAAGAAAATTTTACTTTTTTGAATTTTGATAATAGTCACATTCCAAAAATAGTTTAATCAAAATGCTTTTTTCTTTTTCCTATTTTTAATTAAAAAATATTTTTAATTTTTCTGTTCTTCAACTTAGATACCCCTGGGTTTAGAAAATGTAACATTAGAGCATACTTTGCCCATCCTTTTTCACTCACTCTATCTGCACTCTTTAAAACATAGGAGGCTATCTATTATCATACTAGATTATAATATGCTTCATAAAGCTGAACAGTTTAAGTGACCTCCTTAGATCTTTATGATTATATACATATAGATTTAAAGCCATTTTTCAAACTGTTTTGGGTCAGGACTAATCACCCTTTTAAATTTAATTTTATTTTCACTTCATTATTAACATAATATTTGCTTTTTTAAGGGGACACATTTATACACACAATCAGCATTTTATATGTTGGGGAAGAAGTAACTATTCCCAGTGTATTTAAAGTGTATTGATCAAACTTTACAAATGATTACAAGTTACTTTAAGACCGTTTATAAATTGTGAAAAACTTGTAAATGTTTTATGTGTTAAGCTCAAATGACCTCTGTCCTTAGTTACATGCACTTTGTTTTACTTTTGTTTTTTTGTTATACTTATATTAATTTCTACAGTTAGATTAGTCCATATGGTTTAAGGGTGAACTGTTCTTTGCTTAAAATTATTAGAAATACAAATTTTTTTTTAAATAAAATAATTCTCCTGCAAATGTATATGAAATACCTTTAAAATGTTATATAATAGAATTCATACTACTGAATAAACCAAAAATGTCATTAAGTTTGAGGAGGGAGTTATAAGTGAGTAGTAGACACTTCTGGATAAAACAGTAGTGCTGTATATAATGAAATAGTAGTACTGTGTAAAACTGCATTTATAATAATGAAATAAAATTTGTTACAGTTTAAATTATATTTGATAGAATCCATGTATTACTGAATTGGGAATAATGATACAAACTGAGGTTGAAGAAAATCATTTTTCATAAAAAATCTTGTTTTTTTCTTTTAGAGTGAAAAACGAAGTTCTAATTTCATGTACTTGATGGTTGAGTTTCGATGTGTCAAGTGTGATGATAAGGAATATGGTATTGTTTATTATGAAAAGGTATTTTCCTTGGAACTGTTTATGGTCTCTAAAGTAGAAGGGACGGGAAACATTAAAAACAATTTACCGTTTTTCCTGCTGGGATGAATTCTTTGGCTGCAGAATGGCAGCAGACAGCTGTCAGCAGCAGCTGTTTGTATATACACAAATCAAATCATATAGCTACAACAAGATTACAAAAGCTGATCACTCATGTAATGCAGTTCTGGGTTATAGAATTCAATAAATATACAAGAGATTAAAAACTTTTTGATTAATTGTTCTGTAAATTGGCAAGTAAGACATTAAAGCAGTAGCTTCATTAACAATTAGTGTCCATTTGAAAAGTAGAAAGAGGGAATCATATGTTTTATGTGGTAGGCTATTGAATGGTAAGGGTATGTTTGTTATTTGAATGTGTATGTAATGTGTTGGAATTGTATATGTAACAATTCCAACATAAGTATGCTTATGAAATACCTTATAAATGTTCATTTATATAATATATGCAGAATTAAGAAAACCATGTTATCAGTAGGCTGAGTGGTAATGAATATGAAGTTATGAATTTGCTCTGGTCTGTTCATTACCAAAAGAAAGTAGTTATATATTTGATATCTAGCTACTTGAAAAATATCTGTGCCTTAAATGCTTATTTATGGGTCTTCATTTTAGTACTACAGAAATAATAGTATGCATAGTTCAAAACCACATAAATTAGGTACCTTCTGTTATTTTGGAAGTACTGAGACAAGTGCTTATGAGGACAGTGCGAATCAGAATCAGTGTGAATGAGGACAGACTTTCGATACATGGCATAATAGAATAATATTTCTTCTAGCATAGAGCTAAGCTATATGCAGTTTATTTGTTCATTAGAAGCAGCACTTTTAAATTACCTTTACACATTAGTGTTATTTGTTAAAGTTGTCACAAGTGACTTTTTAAAAATATGTTTTATAACTATTAAATTACTATTTGAAAGATGTTTTCATAATGAAGGTTTAGGGTTTGTATAGTTAATTTGTGATCATTTTTCTGGTACTTTTCAAGTTAATGTATTTTTCCCTTTAGCTTGTACCCCTTCCTAAAGTAAAAGGTTAGGAAAAGTGAACTTGTTTCAGCTTTTTATTTTATAAATAACACTCTCTGGGGGAAAAAAAAGATAAGAACGTAGACTATTTAATATTGTTTGCTAATTCATTAGAAAGACTACATTAAAAAGGGAAACGTAGGTGAGTGAAATTGTTTTGTTACCAATACATTCTTAATAAAATCACTTTTTACATTTTTACTATATGTAATTTCATTAAAAGCAATATTTCCTGCCTATATGGAGTTTATAGTGCAGAACCATGGTAATGGTGATGGTACTTTCAATCATTAGAGACTTGAAGGATCTTTTGAAAGACAGCTTTGTTGATAGATGAAATAATAACAGAATAGAAATTAGAAGAATTTCAAGTATTTTTGAAAAGGTTCTTGACCCCTTTCTACTGCTTCTTGAAAATTGCCCATAAATTAATGCCTGTCTACCTACCCTGTCATATTTCCACTTAGTGTAAAGATTGCTGGGCCAGTGTATTGAATCTAATGGAAATAGACTTTCTTGTCACCTGTCTTTTGTGACAGATAGCCTTAGTGAAGATTACTTGTCACAGTTGGGCTGATAAATGTGTTTTCTGATGTTGTGACTGAGAATCAGCTTGTTAAACAATGGCTGTGGGAATTTGTGTTTTTTTCTAGGACTCAATTACTGAACCTAAAGTAAAGTCACAATACTTGCCTTCTTTCAGTCTCTCCTGATTTTGTTGTTCATATTTAAAATTGAAAATATGCTAGCATTTGGAAATTGACAGAAAAATTTGACGCTAGGTGTACAGTTGTGAGGAAATGAATTTCAACCTTAATTAGTTTATCCTTTTCCAGGATGTATGTAGTGATATTTATTATGCAGAATTACCTTTCTTGCCTGAATTGGATAAAAGTAAAAGCCAAAATTCTTCAAAAATGATAATACCAACAAAATAAGACAGATTCATTTCTTAAGAATTGATGGATTGATTCTTGCTATTCAAATTTGCATTGCGTTAAGTATCCTCTGAGAAGCAATGCTGCTGAGTTTCTAGTCGTATGTAAGTTTGAGTAATGTTAACCCACATTTAAAATTCTACTTATCTGAGTGGAACTTAATTGTGATAATTTGAAAAATTACCAAAATCCACTTAGTAGTTTTTGCAAATGATGTGACAGATCCATTGTGCCATATTTTAATTATACTCTTTGGTTTCTTGTTCTCAGTTTGAAAATTAGGACATACTATTTTGACTCAGTCATTGTAAACAAAGTTTAAAACAAAATCCGGACAGAGACAATCTACTAATTTCCAGACCTCATATCTCTAAAAACTATAATACAGATTTTTTTTATTGTTAGAGTTTATTTTTCTCAAAATATTTTATCAGCAACAAAAGGTAAAAAATAGATATGTATTTTTAAAATATAGTTGAAAGAAGATAATATTTTAAAGGGAGGAACGATGTTCATTAAAAATTAAAATACATTAGAGTGCACATGATCATGTATGACGTTTTAACCATTTGGTTAAAAATTTTTTTTTTTAAACTTGTTATGCTGTAATCCAGGATGGTGATGAGTCATCTCCAATCTTAACAAGCTTTGAGATAGTGAAAGTTCCTGACCCTCAGATGTCTATGGTGAGTCATTGTCAAATTTCTTATGAAAATTCTTTTTTCTAGAGTGATTATGAGTTAGATCCACATCATACACTTTCTTTTTAAAAACTATATCTGTAACTACATTGGTTATTTAAAGGTGATTCATAAATTCACTTCAGCTATTGATATATGTAATCAGGTTCAGATGGAATCTTTGCAAAAAATATTAACACCTTCAAAAAAGGTCAAGATAGTATAGTGTTGGGGAACCATTTTTTTGAATTATTGAAAAAGCTATGGAATGTAGTCTTGAAGGACTTGGGGTAACAAGTATTTGAAAGATTGTCATCATAACAGAAGGGAAATTTATTTATACCAGAAGATAACACTAAGATCAATGGATGGAAATTTTAGGGAGACTGATTTTGTTGAAAAACAGGGAAGATTATTGTAGCTACTAGAACTATTCAATTTGGATTATGGTGTCTTGGAGGATTTTGATATACCTGCATTGGATTGTTGAGATGATAGCTCTCTCAGGAATAAGAAAGAGGAAGAATTCCTACTTTGCAGCAGAGATTTAATTTGATGACTTCAGATTTAGAAAGTTCCAGGCATAAAATCCTTATAGCAACATAATAGATACTGTGATATTTACACTTAGAATTCATTTATATCACTCTGAACTATTTTCTCCTTATTTTATACATTTCTAATTAGATTAATTACCTTCCTAATCACAACAAAGTAGATAAAAAGTAGTACATGGGAAGTTGAAAACATGATGACTGGAGTAAATACAGTTCATTAGAGCAGGAAGTAATGGCTGATGGCCTAACATCAAAGGAAGAAATAGGGGGGAAAAGCGAATAAAAAGTTAGAAAACAAAGGTCACTCGGGAATCTTAGAAACAAACACCTAAGTACCTTCACAGATCCTATGCCTAGCATAATAAAATAAAGTTAATAGATCTAAAATTGACACCGTGGATTGGAAGAATCAACATTGTGAAAATGACTATACTACCCAAAGCAATCTCCAGATTCAATGCAATCCCTATCAAACTATCACTGGCATTTTTCACAGAACTAGAACAAAAAATTTCACAATTTGTATGGAAACACAAAAGACCCTGAATAGCCAAAGCAATCTTGAGAAAGAAAAACGGAGCTGGAGGAATCAGGCTCCCTGACTTCAGACTATACTACAAAGTTACAGTAATCAAGACAGTACGGTACTGGCACAAAAACAGAAATATAGATCAATGGAACAGGATAGAAAGCCCAGAGATAAACCCACACACATATGGTCACCTTACCTTTGATAAAGGAGGCAAGAATATACCAGGGAGAAAAGACAGCCTCTTCAATAAGTGGTGCTGGGAAAACTGGACAGCTACATGTAAAAGAATGAAATTAGGTCACTCCCTATCACCATACACAAAAATAAACTCAAAATGGATTAAAGACCTAAATGTAAGGCCAGACACTATCAAACTTGTAGAGGAAAACATAGGCAGAACACTCTGTGACATAAATCCCAGCAAGATCCTTTTTGACCCACCTGCTAGAGAAATGGAAATAAAAACAAAAATAAACAAATGGGACCTAATGAAACTTCAAAGCTTTTGCACAGCAAAGGAAACCATAAACAAGACCAAAAGACAACCCTCAGAATGGGAGAAAATATTTGCAAATGAAGCAACCAACAAAGGATTAATCTCCAAAATTTACAAGTAGATCATGCAGCTCAATATCAAGAAAACAAACAGCGCAATCCAAAATTGGGCAGACGACCTAAATAGACATTTCTCCAAAGAAGATATACAGATTGTCACCAAACACATGAAAGAATGCTCAACATCATTAATCATTAGAGAAATGCAAATCAAAACTACATTGCGATATCATCTCACACCGGTCAGAATGGCCATCATCAAGAAATCTACAAACAGTAAATGCTGGAGAGGGTGTGGAGAAAATGGAACCCTCATACACTGTTGGTGGGAATATAAATTGATACAGCCACTATGGAGAACAGTATGGAGGTTCCTTAAAACAACTAAAAATAAAACTACCATACGACCCAGCAGTCCCACTACTGGGCATGTACCCTGAGAAAACCATAATTCAAAAATAGTCATGTACCACAATGTTCATTGCAGCTGTATTTACAATAGCCAGGACATGGAAGCAACCTAAGTGTCCATCGACAGCTGAATGGATAAAGAAGTTGTGGCACATATATACAATGGAATTTACTCAGCCAGAAAAAGAAACGACACTGAGTTATTTGTAGCGAGGTGGATGGACCTAGAGTCCGTCGTACAGAGTGAAGTAAGTCAGAAGAGAAAAACAAATACCATATGCTAACCCATATATATGGAATCTAAAAAAAAAGAAAATATGGTCATGAAGAACCTGGGGCAAGACGGGAATAAAGATGCAGACCACTAGAGAATGGACTTGAGGACACGGGGAGGGGGAAGTGTATGCTGGGACAAAGTGAGAGAGTGGTAATATATATATGGACATATATACACTCCCAAATGTAAAATGGATAGCTAGTGGGAAGCAGTCGCATAGCACAGGGAGATTAGCTTGGTGCTTTGTGACCAGCTAGAAGGGTGGGATAGGGAGGGTGGGAGGGAGGGAGATGCAAGAAGGAAGAGATATGGGGATATATGTATATGTATAGCTGATTCACTTTGTTATAAAGCAGAAACTAACACACCATTGTAAAGCAATTATACTCCAATAGAAACGTTAAAAAATAAAAATAAAATTGACACTGAATTTTCATTATAAAATCAAATTGTATTTTGCATTCTGGATATTTGAAACACACTAATGGTTACCTTCAAAATGGTTGAGAGTATTCAAGTTTTGTCATACTGGGACCATATTAACTCCTACCAAAATGTCAGGTAAATGAGATGTCTGTATATTTAGTGTATTTTTTCCTAAAGAAAACGCTCGTCAACAATTATAGGTTTAATATTATGGATGCTGTAATTAAAAAACAAAGATCTAGGACCTCTGTCAACAATTTTTAGTTTTAAATACAATCAAGGAAAAACAAAACAAAAAATTAAGAAAAAAAGCTACCCTCCTTACCCCCATGTTAAAAAATTTTAATTTGTATCCATTAGTATTAACTAAACAGAGGAATATATTTTAACAAACATTGAGTGCCGCTAAGCTGGTATATCACTGTATCAGACAATAAAACAGACTCTACAGTTACAAGTGTGGCAAATGGACTGGTAGAACTGACTAAAAATCCCAGAACTAGATCCAAGTACATATGTAAATTGACGAAGGTGGCATTTCATCACTGGAGCATAGTGTTGGGGAATGAGCCATTTGGAAAAAGATGAAATTGAATCAAATCCACACATCACACCATACATAAGGAAAAACTCCAAATGAATCAGGGATTTAAATATTATAAAATGAAACCTTACTAGTACTTTACTATCAGTGTAGGGAAAGACTTTCTAACGTTGAGTCAAAATCCAGAAGCAACAAAAGAAATGATTGATAAGTTTGACTATGTTAAAAAATTTGCATGGCAAAAGCACTGTTAAGTCAAAAGACAGTTGAAAAACTGGGAGAAACTATTTGTGACATACATCACAGACAAAGAACTGATTTATCTAATGTGTAAAGAACTCTTAAAAACTGAAGAATAAAGGACCAAAAAGCAAAATTAGGAAAAAAACATGAACAGACAATTCACACATGAAAAAGTGAATAAAATAAAGTCTCTTAAGCAAAGACAGTATGTTCAAAACTAATGATTTTGGCCATAGGTAAAATAGTTAAGCATTTTGGTCATTCATTGTCCCTGCCCTCGGTTACTACTGGCAGTTAAACTCTAAGATGATAATACAATTATATCACGAAGTCACTAGTAGCTCATAGGAAGCGGGAGTGCTTTAATCTGAGCTGCCAGGGGAGATTTTGGAATGAAGGTAACATTTGAGTGGGTAGAGGGTATAAAACCCTGAATACAATGGAGAGTTAAAACAGGAAACTGGAATGGCATGCTCAAGTGCGCCTGGTGAAGCATAAGTTATGCTTACTTTCCCTATCACCACAAGATACATAGGAGACTAAAGTTGTAACACGAATAAAATGTTAAATATTATAAACTGGTCTTAAATAAGTAACTATTTACTTTTCTATTTCTAAGTGGCTGTTGAAACTGCTTACTGGTGAAATTTACATTGTTGCTTAATATTCTTAAATAATTTATAGGAAAATTTAGTTGAGAGCAAACACCACAAACTTGCCCGGAGTTTAAGAAGTGGACCTTCTGACCACGATCTCAAACCTAATGCTGCCACAAGAGATCAACTGAATGTAAGAGAATTTATAAAATATTAATTTAAAAATAATTAAGTGGGTATTTTGGTTGCAACTGATGCGATAGCACATCACTTAAAAGTGATTCAGACACAGGTTAATGAACCCTATGTAATTTCAACAACTTCACATTTCTGTAGTTTTATATCATTTGGGGGCTTTCAGGAAATATATTAGCCCTAGAGACAGAACTGCAAATAGTATATGCTTTCTTGATATAGTGTTCTTAGAAACTGGCCCTAAGATACATTGCCTGAGCTTCCACTGACTTAACAAGAGAAATGTTTATCATTTGGGTGTTTTTTTTTTTTTTTTCTTTTCCTTGTGTGTGTGTTGGGGGGAGGGGACTTTTTCCCTCATTTTTATTTTTTAAAAAATGTTTTATACAATTTTTAAGGGTTACTTTCCATTTGCAGTTATTACAAATTATTGTCTCTGTTCCCTGCGTTGTACAATCCTTGAGCCTATCTTGCATGCAGTAGTTTGGTGGGGGCGAGCTTTTGTTATTTGGATTTGTTGTGTCTTTGGTTGAAGTAAATTAGCTCTGCAATTACATACTTTTTTTCTAATATGGAACTTGACTTTTTTTTATCTTATCTTTTTCTCCTCTTATACTCTAATATACTTTTTGAACTGATAAATGCAGCAAATTTAAGTCTTACTTGGCTGCATGTATATTCTCCTTGCTTCTGTAATAGTTCAATTATAGATATATTTAAATGAATGAAAAATTTTGAATGAAATGGAAATATATAGGAAGATTTTTTTTATTTGACAAAAGTAGTTTTTTTTTTCTTTGTTGTAGATTATTGTGAGTTATCCACCAACCAAGCAACTTACATATGAAGAACAAGATCTTGTATGGAAGTTTAGATATTATCTTACTAATCAAGAAAAAGTGAGTTTCTTGAATATTTTCATATATAAAATTATCTATAAACTTTGTTGCTAATGAGCAAAATGAAGTAAAACTGCCATAGAAATACAGACTTATTGTCAAACTTGAAAAAAGAAAGGTTTATAGAGTAATATATATCGTTACTCCATTTTTTAAAAAGTTAAAACACAAAGACACAGGTACCTATTTGTTGATGTATAGACAATGTCTGAATGGGTTAAGTCAGAGAGACTTGGGCTCAGTTTCCAGCACTACAACTTATTCTTACTGGGTAAGGTGAGGCAAGTTGCTTTGGAAGGTTTGTTTCCTCGTTTTTCTAATTATGACAACTCTCCTTCACAGGTGAGATAATACAGATGGTTGGGTACTTAATGCATAGTAGGTGCAGAGTAAATGTTGACTCACTTTATCTTCATTCTTCTCACCTCTTTGAGCCTGGGTGGCCGGCAAAAGATTTATGTTATTTAAAGAACTATAGAATTCTGGAGGAGATGTGGCTAGAGAGAGAGTATGAGAAATGTAATTTGAAATGGTAAATTGAGTTGGTGGAATGGCATCCAGCTTGGCAAGAGGATAGAGGCTAGGTCAGAACTAGACGTTTGCTTTCCATAATGAAACTATGGAGTAGATAAAGTTTCTGGAGAGAGAGAATTGGGATGAAGCACTAGACTTGAGTGTAGAGACTTAGTTTTGAGGCTTACTATTTATTACTATTTATTGTCACAAAGAAGCTTTTTGACTGCTTTAGTTTCCTCATATTTAATATGAGTCCATTAAATTATAGTGAACGTTAAGTCTCTTCTAGTTCATAAAATAGTCAGTAAATTCTTAGAACATAGGTTCAAAGACTGTTAAGGTATAATAATAATAACCAGCATTTATTAAACAACCACTGTGTGTCAGAGATATTTGATATCCCACAACAACCCCACAATATAGATATTATTGTTACTATTCTACAGATGAGGAAACCTGAGTCTTAGAGAGATTAAGGAACCTGTGCAGAATCAAAGCTTATAAATGCTGCTGCTTGATAGGCTCACATTTATGAGTTAGTAGAGAAGGTAGTCATAGAAAAGAGGATTATACAGAAAATACAGCATCATGCATGCCATAACAGGAATTCTGAAATGCATTGTGGGCAAAACAGAGAAGCATCAGGAAAATTAATATCTGTCAGATATATAATTATTTGAGAATGAATGAATGTTTACAATCTTATGAGATTGTCTTTAGCTACTTTGTTAACTTGTTTTTCTGAAACAATTGTATTTCCTTTAGTCTCTAAAGTAAAGATAAAAATCCAGTTACAGCTCACTTTAACTCTTCAGCTTTTCTTCTTTATGTTTTATTGATGCCTTGGGAAATTCTTTGTAGATGAATCATATCCATCCTCTTTTATATCTATGACAAGAATGAGAGAGGAATTTTAAATTTGCTATAGCTTTTGAGTGTTATTCTCTTTATCCCTGCAAAGAAGGAAAGATTCATCAGCAGAAGCACAGGTTTATGATTTTTGTGTTTTATAAAAAGATTGAGTTAGTATCGTGATACTCTGTTAAATGAATAACCTTGGTCACAGAAATTGCATCTTGAATGCAGCACAGTGCTGTCTAAAAATACGCAGTAAGATATTGAATTAAACTTGTTAGAATGTATAGGTTCAAGAAGCATAGAATAGATTTACAAAGAAGAACTCCCTTAGATAGAAAGGCTTCCAAGGAAAACTATGTTTTAACAAGTCGTCACTTCCCACTGAAATTCAATTACTTCTAGATATGTGTAAAAGAAAAATGCTCAAGTGATATAAAGTGTGTGACAAGTTTCATTTAACTAATTGATTTCAACTTTTTGAAAGGTAGGTGATGAAACTTCACTTCTCAGGACATATTACAGGATTCTTAAGATCACTAGAGTAGAGTAAACACTGTTTTTTGTTTAGGGAGCACTTTTCAGAAAGCCAAATATATATTGGTCTTGAAGTAACCAAAGGAATTATTAAAATAGCTACATTTGTATCTTTGTAATAATTTAAAATGGGTTTTGTAGAAAATAAATACTCCTGTACCATTGTCCTTTAATTTATTTATAAAAGAAATTCGTTCAGTGCCAGTTTCTCAGGAACTGTGATTTAGGTTATTTGACAGTTGAGCCCTAAGGCTGAAAAGATTTCGTAGAGAGAAAGCAGTGCTCAGGAAACAAGTTGGTGGAAATTGGTTCTTACAAAGTTGTACTTCTTATTTATTTTTTTAAATAAATAATTTAAATAATAATAAATTTGGTCTTTCCACCTATTTTTTTCTAAATGACCTGTCTTAAGTATTTCGGATAAAAAGCCCTCTAGTCTAGACTTGATGTTGTACCTGAAAAGTTCACAGTAATAAGTTTGTCCAACAAAATCAGTTGAATTTATGAAGTATGTTTAATTTTGTGGTCCATAGCATATAGGAAGTGACTCATTTTTGCAGAACTCAAAATGTGACTATTGTAACTTTTTAAATTCAACTTTAAAAAAAAAAATCAGCTTTTAACATGGTAAATGGCCTTTCTTATTAAAATGTTAATAAAAAATAACCGTTATATTAATGCCTTTCCATTATGCTTAGGGAACAAAAATAGTAGGAAGAGTCATAATGGTGAAGGTAATAGTGATGCACACTGAATGCTCTTATGAGGCTGCTTCTGAGACAGTGACATCAGGACAATAATATTTGTGCCTCCTGGCAAGAAGTTGATGGCAGACAATAGCAGAAATGAATTCAATTCAGCAAGCATTTGGTATCAACTCTTGGCCTAGAGTTATTTAAGGCTCTGAGCTTCGAGGTATTATGTCCCTGTAAATTTCATATAAATTAAAACTGTTTTGGGGAAACTGTTAAAATTAAACTGTTTTGGGGAAAACCAAAATGGAAAAGTAGAGGATAGTAACTGATAAAGGGTCACTGTCTTATTAGTAAACAGTTAGGTAATTACTATAGTAGAGATGTGAAGGAGAACAAGATCAGTGTGCTAAGATATGAGGGAGGTTTTACAGAGCCAAGATTTGTCTTGAAGTTTGAACAAACTTTGATGGTCATTCTTATTTGATGATCATTTTTCATGGGAAAGAAAAGCATGAATAAGGCAGAGTGCTAGGTTCAGGAGACAGAAAAGTTTGTATGAAACATTCTTTAAATAGAAAAGGTGGAATCAGATTGTAATGAGCCTTGAATTCTGTGGTTCGGAGTTGGATATCACTGGCAATAGGAAACCCCTAAAGCAAACAGAATGTGTCTAAGTAAGTGATGTTTTAAGGAAGATGAACCAGGTGGATTGGAGCAGAGCTGAGAATGAAAAAAGAGACATAATTAGGAGGCTTATGTATGGATTTTGAGAGCTGTATTGGAGAGCAAAGGAAGGGGAGGATAATGTGTAAAATGACTTGGAGGTAATTCCCAAGAATTAGGCCTGAGTGACTGAAATAAGGAAATATGGCAAGTGGAAGGGGCAGAGTAAGGAGATATTTCGTTTTTGAATGTTTTGAATTTAAAATATTAGAATAGCTGTGATACGGTGATATAATAAGAAATCATATATTTGGTCTTCATCTCTGGTTCCTGGCACAGAGTTTCTAAAACCCTAGGAATTTCGTGAGTAGTAAGGATGAGAGGAGTGTCTTTTGTTTTTCATAATAAGCCCCTTTCAACTATACTTGTATTTATGGTAATGAGGTGACTCTTGGAGAGTGGGGCTCATTGCCAAAAGAACCAAACCTCTGATTAGAGGGTTGGAATTTTCAGCCCCACCCTTGACCTCTGTGGAGGGAGGAGGAGAGATCGTAAAGGGGCTGGGGATAGAATTAATAACTCAAGAATGGCTAATGATTTAATCAATTGTGTCTACGTTATGGAATCTCTATGAAAACCTATAGAGCTTTTGGGTTGGTGAATGCATCAGTATGCTAGGAAGGTGGCACATTCCTAACTATGGGGACAGAAGCTCCTGTGCTTAGGACCCTTCCGGACCTCGCCTAATGTACCTCTTCACCTGGTTATTCATTTATATCTTTTATAATAAATTATATCTTTTATAATAAAAGATATATCATTTATATCTTTTATAATATATTTCTCTGAATTCTTTGTGCCATTATAGCAAATTATTGAGCCTGAGGAAGGGTCATGGGAATCCCCAATATGTAACCAAGCTGGGCTGAAGTATGGGTACCTGAGAATCCAGTGTTTGCTCTTGGTATCTGAAATGGGAAGCAGTCTTATGAGACTAACCCCTTAACCTCTGCAATCTGCACTGAGTGTCAGAATTCAGTTAAATTGTAGAACACTTAGTGTCTGCAGAGAATTAGGGAATTGGTTCATGTGGACAACCCACACATTTGATGTCAGAAGTGTCTTGAGTAGAACAGGTTTTCCTTTAACAACATGGTAGTAATTTCCAAAATTTAGTTGGTAGAAGTTAATATTAGAAATATATATGACAAATACAGTGTTTTCAGCTCTGAAATGTGATCATGATTCTAAAAGTAGGAGATAACAATGAAGTGATTCTAAGATCAGAAAGGAGGTTAACAAAATATTTATTGCTATTAATATAAAACATGGTAATACATACAATAATGTTAACATTTGATGCTGGACTCAACAACAAAAATAGAACAATAATATCAGAGTTGAAATAATTAACATTTATCAACTATTTATTATATATATATATATCCTGTTTTAAGCATTTATATTCATTAACTTATTTAATTTTTACCACGACCTTATGAGATAGATCACTTAAAAGTTAAATAATGTGCTCCATGTGACACAGTAATAATTGATGGAGCTGGAAATTAAGATTTAAACCCAAACACCTTGGCTTAGTCTAAAGCCTATACTATCTGTGGAAGCTCTAGGGATAAAATTGCATTTGAATCCTGTACCTTTGTTTTACATAGATCAATAAATCATCTTTAAAGGACCTGAGATTAAGTATCATCATTATTATCGCTGTCTTCAAATTGTTACACTTCCTTTCTTTCTCATTACTCTTCTTGTTTCCTCCTTCATTGTATTATCTCCTTGTTTACATTTGTAACGTTTAGCATTATCAAGTTGTGAAATCTTTGTACAGTGTCTTAAGTTCCCTGGCAGCATTGTATTCTGTAAATCTTACTAATAAATCTATAAATCTGAGAATCTGGGAGTTAGATTGTTTTGGTTGCTGAACTGAGTACATCAGCCTGCTGCAAGATTTGCTTATAATAAGTACATACCTGCACATTTCTATTAAGACTACTGATGTACTGTGAAATGGCAAAGCTTTCACTGTAGTTGTTTAAGAAGTATTGCTTTGTTTCCACATTCAGTCTAGAAATACATTTTGGAAGTGAAAAATAAATGCATAGAATAAGTTAGGAGGGCAGTCCATGTTTTTATATGGAGAGCAAGCACTGCACTAAATGGTGTGCAGGAGGTGCAGAAGAAATGGATAGCTATCCTTGGGGGATGCAGACTCCAGTTGTAGGCATAAGAATGCCCAGAAAAGCATTTGGTAGTTAGAAGAGCATCATTTAAATGAAGATAGTAAAACTGAGGCAGCTACTAAAAGAAGAGCTGAAAGTTGCTGAAAACTGCCTGGAAAAGTTGAGATTTTGACAAGCTGGCCTTAAATAAGATGACACTAAAGTTTTGGCGAAGAGTATAAGGAAGGAAGGAACTCCTTGTAGACGGAAGTTAGACAGTCATTATAAAATAGGTTAGCTTGGTTGAAGCATAGAGGGGCAATGAGAGCTTAATGAGAGTCACAGGTTTGGATTGTGGTGAGAGGTATCAAGGAATGTTTTGAGAAAGAAGCCAAGGTTTAAAAAACAATAAAAATGATTTCACTGTCTAAATACAATGAGTACTTTGGAAATTAGTCACTGGAATTACTTAGGTAAATATTGGGTCTCTTTTGGTCAGAGATATTATAAGGTAAATTTCTGCTGACAGTGGAAGTTTGTGCTAATAAAATCACTTCCAGCTTGAGTGTCTGACAGTCTGTGAAATGATTAGAAAAGAAACTGGTGTTGAAGCTCTTAGCTAGAAGGCTGTGCCAAACTCTAGGTGTTTGGTATAGTGAGAGTCAATCTGAGGGGAACAACAGGAAATATTGTCAGGAAATAATTGACCGGAATTGGGAATGGATTTGAGACAGGAGGGAAGTGGGCAGGGCACAACCATTAAAAGAATGATACAACCATTAAGAACAGGATACCACAAAAACTGGTTAGAACCTAATAGGCCCAAGATGGCAGAAGATTTGACTTCCGGGAGACCTTGAGCCTCATTATATACTCATTGTAATACATTAGCTAAATGACACACCCACAGGCGCCATGACAGTTCTGAGGCCAGCCATAAAAGGCCAGAAAGTGGGCGGTGGCCCAATTCCTGGAAATCTCTGCCCCTTCCCTAAAATAGTTGGAATAATCCTCCCTTCTGGTAGCCTATGAAATTACCCAGCCCATAAAAACTAACCACCCCCACATTTCTGGGCCACTCTTGCCTTTTGAGACAGACTGTGTTCTGTCTATGGAACGTGTATCTCCCATGACCACTCTCCTCAGACGGCCCACTCTCTGTCTGTGGAGTGTGTATCTCTCTAAATAAACCTGCTTTCACTTTCCTGTGTTTGGCTCTTGAATTCTTTCCTGTGCGAATCCAAGGACCCTCACTAGGTGGCCAGTCCCAGGGACTCACTCAAGACCTGGGACATGACCCTCCTCTTGCACCCCATTTTTTTCCTACAACAGATTTAGGAAATAAGTGTTGGTGGAGTAATGGCTCCAAGGGGCATGGGCCTAGCTAAGTAGGAGATGCAGTGCCTTAATGATAAGGAGGAGCCATCTGGTGTAACATGCATAGGCTGGGGGTCAGTGGATTTAGATTCTGGGTCTAGCCTGTCACCATTTTGAGACGATGGGCAAGCCACTTCACTGAGATTATATACAAATTTGAGCACTGGACTAGATCATCTCCATAGTGCCTTTTTCCTTAATTTAGTTAAATTAAAGAGTAAGTTAGGGAATGGGAATGAAGATTCCTTTTATGTCATACTAACGAGTAATTGTGTTTTATTGTCCAAGTGAACATTTTTGAGAACTTGATTAGTTTACTAATGAAAATATTTTTAATTGGGCAGAGCAGGAATTTAAAATTTTGAAGTTATCTTTGTTCAAGAGATGAATTCATAGAGGAAGAGAAAAGAAAATGTCTTGGGATCAGCCAGGAAAGTGTTGCCAGTAGGGAGATCTGGCAATAGGGACTGCTTTTTATGGAAAACAGGTATAAACCTTTCTTTAAAGAGCATTTATTGTTATGCAGCCATTAATGATATGCTCAAAGGTAGTTTACTTACCCAACAGTCTTATGAAGACTTCGCTACCTTTCTAAAGAAGTGAGGCTCCAGAATGATTCTGCAAACAGCCAGCTGAATCAGAATATATATACAGAAGCTGGAGCTTCTATGTATTTATCTATTTTTATTATTGTTACTGTGGAATTTTTGTCTTTTTTTAAATGTTTTTTTAAATTGTGGTAAAAATCACATAATATAAAACATACTATTTTAACCATATTTAACTGTACAGTTCAGTGGCACTAATAAGTACATTCACATTGTTGTGCAACTCTCACCATCATCCATCTCCCGAATTTTTCACCTTCCTAAACTGAAACTCTGTCCCCATTAAACACTAATTCCCCAATAGTTACTTCTCTGTGTAAAAGAGACATACATATTTGACTTCATTTGAGTCCTTGTATGTGAGTATCTAGGAAAACCATTGACTCTGGGAGGTGTTCAAGTGTGGGGTTCTGCCCTTCTTGACTTTGGGCTCTCATTCACTGGCTGCAATCTCTTATGTCTCACATGTCGATGTTGTAAAATGAAGGTTTTCTCTAAGGTATCTCAGAGTTCGTGAGACATGCATCAACTATTTCCCTGTCTTGAGGTCTGCAGTGTTTTAAAATAACGAAAGCAAAATGAAGAAAAGCTGAAGAAAATTTAAAAATTCACAGTGGTTTGACCTGAAAAAAACATAGTTACAAGGAACATGATTTTTTTTTTCCTCGTTCTGCAGTGTTTTTCTAGGATTGTGTGTATACTAAACACTAAACAAAGTGTTTATGTAAGGAGTCAGTCGTTGACTTTGTGACTCTGCCATCAAGTCCAAGCTGAGCTCTGCCTAGTCACCCTTGACCCTTCCTATCCCAGAATAAGCTGTTACTTCTAATTCTTAAACCTTTTCTGATTTTAGGCTTTGACGAAGTTCTTGAAATGTGTTAATTGGGATCTACCCCAGGAGGCCAAACAGGCATTGGAACTTCTGGGAAAATGGAAGCCAATGGATGTAGAGGATTCCTTGGAGCTGTTGTCCTCTCATTACACCAATCCAACAGTGAGGCGTTATGCTGTTGCCCGGTTACGGCAGGCAGATGATGAGGTCCATTGTTATTCATTACTCCTCTTCAACTGGGTGAATTTTAAACTAGAGCCTGATTATGGACTCTGTGTGTGAGAGAGAGAGAGAGAGAGAGAGAGAGAGAGAGAGAGAGAGTGAGTGTGTGTGTGTGTGTGTGTGTGTGTGTGTGTGTGTGTGTGTGTGTGTATGAGAGAGAGAGAGGGAAATTTTTTAAAGGGAACTGGATATACTATGTGTGTTTGCAGAAGCAAAATTAAACTATTCCTCCAAGGACTCCTCTGAAATGAAAATTTACTTCCTGATCTGTTACGTGATAGGCCAGTCTCTCCCAGGACATTTACCTGGCAGTAGAGCTTGTATTGCTCTGTCTGGAAAAAGGAATTCTAGTGAAAAATGGTTTAATGCAGTACCAGCTAGGGAATAATTCGGATTCCCTCTATCAGTCAGTCTACAACAAGCCACATTTAATTGTAGCCTTGAAAAGCCCTTGGGGCCTTTAAAGCATAGAGGTGCATGGTCATCATATTCTCTTTCAAACCCCTCCTTTAAACTTTGAGCTACTGACAATTATGTGTATATGTAGATTTTCTGAAGGTGGTTTTGAATCCTCTGGAAAGGAAAGACTACAAACATTATGATGGCTATTTATATACATATAAGGCCACCAGGGAAGGTAGAAAACTCTGTTGACCCAAAGCATTGCTGGATTTTGAATTTTAGTAATTTCCTAATACGGTAGATGAATTCACTAATTTTTTTACTTACTAATTTTTATAGAGGGAATGTGTTCTCAAACATAACCTAATAGTTTATGCTAGCCTGCAAGGCTTATGGAATATGGGATGACTCTTCTCAATCCTCAATATATATAGGAGTGCCAATCATTATTTTGAATTCAAAGTGGTATCTGAATTTCAAGAAGCAAAATGCAGCATTTATTAAGGTTGATAGTTGTATATGTATTTAATTACAATAAAATTTAAACACTGAAGTAAGTAGTATAGTGAATGCTCATACATAATTTACCCATCTTCAGCAGCTGCCAACTCATAGACAATTTGTTTCATCTCTAACACCAATTATTCTCTCCTCCACATTCCCTACCCTCCTCTAGATTATTTTGAGGTAAGTCTCAGATATTGTATAATTTTATTGGAATAGGATGTTTTTCACTCTCCTATCAAAGAACAATTCCTAGCATTGTGATTCAGCATATTATCTTCTCTGTGATTGTTTTTACTATATCACAAGTAAAAAATTATTACAATATTTATTTAAAATAGTGAAATGTTTGTTTTGAAATTCATTAGAAGTTTCACTTTAGTCATTAAGTCTTTATCTACGTTTGACATGAGTCAAACAGAAAGGCCTCTGGGCTATAGTTAAGATAGTCCCCCTCAACATGGGTTCAGACTTTAAATAGAAATACTGTAAATCATTGTTTTTGATTGCCTGACTTTGTTGCCTTACAAGCTTAGAGGCTAAGCATTTGATTGTCTCTGGAGTTAACAGTATTCATGCAAGTACTGAACTATTTCTAGACCATTTTATAATTTTTGTTATGACGTAAAGAATAATGATAGAAATACTGCATGCATCCTAAACTGCAAAATATGGTTGTTAGTTTTGGGTTTTTTTTTTTTTTTTTTGCGGTACGCGGGCCTCTCACTGTTGTGGCCTCTCCCGGAGCACAGGCTCCGGACGCGCAGGCTCAGCGGCCATGGCTCATGGGCCTAGCCGCTCCGTGGCATGTGGTATCTTCCCAGACCGGGGCACGAACCCATGTCCCCTGCATCGGCAGGCGGACTCTCAACCACTGCACCACCAGGGAAGCCCTTGGGGTGTTTTTGAGGTTTGTGTATACTTAGCTTAAAAATAAAAGGTCTTTTAGTTCAGTTTCTACTGACTCTTCAGATGTATATTAAGATTTGAATTTTGTCTTTTCTCTGACTATGTACCTGTATGTCTTTGGGAACATATATTATTCTCACCTCGGTTTCCCATCCAAAAAATAGTGATAACAGCTGCTTATGTCACTTGACAGTTATGAAGAAAAAATTATCTGGGGCAGAATTTTGAAAATTGTACTCATACAGTTATGCTGAAGGATTGTAAATTTATATTATGTCAATTTTGTACTAAAATCATTCATGTTGTACCTTTCATTTCTAATCGTTTTAAAATTTCTCCTTGCTTTTGCTTTGTCTGTGGAATAGTATAACATTTATGGTTTTATAAACTTCAAATGTTTTTTGGTATTTCAGAGGATAATATAACCATATATTGGGTTGGTCAAGAAGTTCCTTTGGTTTTTAAGTAAAAGACACATTTTTCATTTTCACCAAGAACTTTATTGAACAGTGTATTCACCATTTTGTTCCACCACCATCTGCCATTTTTCAGGCAACTTCATAATTCCATCTTCCCAAAACTTTTTATCTTTTTGAGCAAAAAACTGTTCCAGGTGCCTTTTACAGTCTTCCAGGGAATTGAAATTTTTTCCATTAAGAGAATTTTATAATGACCGAAATAAATGGAAATCCGAAGATGCAATGTCTGGTGAATACAGCAGATAAATCAGAACTTCCCAGCTGTAACAGTTTTTGACTGGTCATCAAAGAAACATGCGGTCTTGCATTATCCTGATGGAAAATTATGCATTTTCTGTTGACTAATTCCGGACGCTTTTCGTTGAGTGCTGCTTTCAGTTGGTCTAATTAGGAGCAGTACTTGTTGGAATTGATCGTTTGGTTTTCCGGAAGGAGCTCATCATAGAGGACTCCCTTCCAATCCCACCATATACACAACATCACCTTCTTTGGATGAAGATCATTTAGCCTTTGGTGTGGTTGGTGGTGGTTCATTTCACTTTCCCCACGATCTCTTCCATTCCACATTATTGTACTACTTTTCATCTACTTTTCATCTCCCGTCACAATTTGTTTTAAAAACAGAACGTTTTCGTTACATTTAAGTAGAGAATTGCATGTGGAAATACGGTCAAGAAGGTTTTTTTTGCTTAACTTATGTGGAACCCAAGCAACAAAGTGATTAAGATAACCAAGCTGGTGCAAATGATTTTCAACGCTTGATTTGGATATTTTGAGTATGTCAGCTATCTCCTTCATGGTATTATGTTGATTGTTCTCAGTTAATGTTTCGATTTGATTGCCGTCAACTTCAACTGGTCTGTCCGACCATGGAGCATCGTCCAGTGAGAAATCTCCAGCATGAAACTTCGCAAACCACTTTTGACACGTTTGATCCATCACAACACCTTCTCCATTCACTGCACAAATCCTTTTTTGCATTTCAGTTGCACTTTTACCTTTCTTGAAATAATAAAGTATAATATGACGAAAATGTTGCTTTTTTTTCTTCCATCCTCAATATTAAAATGGCTACACAAAAATTCACCAATTTTGGTAAGTTTTTTTTTTAAAGGCACACTTGATATGACAGCTGTCACAATACGATCTAACAAAATTGTTTTGAAAGAAGTTAAAGACAACTAAGTGCTACTAAAGCCATCTTACGGAAAAAACATGAGCAAACCTTTTGGCAAACCCATAATGATATATAATATAATTATATAATCATAGCATCAAAGATACGTCAAAGGTCACTTTGTCTAAATATCCACATCTTGGATGACCAAAAAACTTGAATGAAAAATACTGTGTTTTATATTTGGGCAGTCTGATATTTTCAATATGCTGTAGTCCTTCCAGTAGCTAGGCCTGCCAGGCCTTTATATATGCTACTTCATTGTCTTAGTGGAGTCTTCCTGCTGTTCATCCTTAAAGCTGTAGCACAGACCTCAACATCTCTGAGAAACCTCTCTTAACCATTCCAGGAAGCAGATGGCATTTTTGTTTGTTTATTTCCTGATCCCACAGCATTTGGTTTGTTCCTTTACTATATGATATTATCATCTTTTGTTTTCTGATTCTCTTTGCTTTTAAATTGTAAATGAAATAGTAACATAGAAAGTAATATTCCTTTAACAACTCCACTTCTCCAGCCGTTTTTTATCCCTAGAAAGGTAGCCACTCTTTTATCTTTTCATATATTTTCTATGCAAATTGCAAGCATATACATGCATGTATGGTATATATTTACACCTCTTTAAAAATTAAGAAAAATAGGAATATCCTATACATATTGTTAAAACCTTGCCTTATTAATTGAACAGTATAATCTTGGATATTTTCTCATCTTCAACACATATATTTGGTGTCCATAAAGTCTGGAAACATAGGCAAATGAATATCAAGGCAAATGATGTCAAAGGCACGTTTAATCTGTAGGAAAGCACTGTGTTTTTAGACTTAATGGAAACCTGTAGATGTACCTTATTCCTTTCAAACAGCAGCATAATATTTTACTGCAAATTTATTTTATAATTTATTTAACCAGTCAGCTCCTTCTGGTAGGCAGTTGTTTTCTAATCTTTTGCTGTAACTATTTTAGTGAATAGACTTTTGAATATATGTTTTTCCATATTCTTGAATAAGTAGCTTACATTGGAATTATTGTCACAATATATATGCCTTTTACATATGCTTTTTTCTGATAATTCTTTGTGAACCTTCTGTTTTTATGCTTGTATCATACTTTTAAAAATTGCAGTTGTTTCATAATAACTTTAAATATATGATTGGATAAAACCCCTCCCTTTCTTTTTTTCTTAAACAATTTTCTTTATAATTTTTGTATATTTATTCTAAATTTAGAACAATTTTGTCATTTTCTTAAAACTCCACCAGAATCTTACGTGGAATTACATTACATTTATATATTATATTAGGGAAGATTAACATCTTTATGATATTAAATCTTCCCTCCTGGAGATACACGATTATTTCAGTCATAATTTTATAAATTTTTTTTCACATTTTAAAACATTATATTTATTCTGTGACAATTGTTACTATTATGAACTACCTCACCCCTTTTAGCTCTTATTTCTGTTTGTTGGTTAAATGTAAAACTGTGTTTTTATTTTAATATTTATGTTTTATCTAATTTCTGTAGTGATGTTTCTTGATAGTTCTGTTAAGTGTTAGGTGGGTCCCTGTAATTTGTAGGTATAGCATCATGCTGTCTGAAAAACATTGATATTTAATAATACTATGCATGAAATAGATGCTGAATTCCTAATGTTAAACTCACCATACATTTATAAAATAAATATTAATCAGTTTTTTAATATCTTTCTGAATTTGATTTGTTTAATGTTCTGTTTCAGAATTTTTAAAAGCCATATTTCTTACTATTGTGTGGCTCAAAATGAGAGAGATTCCCCATTAGAATTTGAGGAAGAAGTGGCATTTGAGATAGACAATGAAGGAAGAGAATTTTCAGAGTTGAACATGAGTTTACATGAGCAATATGAGCAAAGGCAAAGAGATTGAAAAGTACAGGAAAAATAGAAAATATTTCGCTTTAACAGAAGTGTGGGATATATGTGGCTGTCTGGGAAGCAAGGTCAGAACCCATGTATCTAACTGTAACTGTCGAACTGTAAATGTCTATATGAAGAGTTACGCTTAATTCAATAAGAAATGGGAGTGATTTTGACAGTGAACGTTGCATTTATATTCTGAAGCATTAGAATTAACTTGTTCTTGAGAAGAATGGTGATTGCTATCTAGATAGTATTTCATAGCTCTTGGGAAATTTTTACTTAATTGCCTGAAATAGAAATATGATTTTTTTGTTTGTTTTGTTTTACTTGTATGCTTATGTCCTTCATGCTTGGAGGAATTTTATATTTTCCAAGATGTGCCTGTTTAATGAGCAAACAGACTTTGTACTTACTACTGAAGTTAATTCATTTTCATACAAATGAAGGAAAGTGTAGTTTGAATACAGAATACCAGATGGCTAACATAATCAGATTGTGATGAATGACTTAAAAAGAGGAGTTTTCTTCCAAATTTCTCCTTCCTGGGGAATTTAATAGCAATGCAGCGTTTTTGATTTCATGTAGTAAGTCTTTTCTATACTTGGGAAAACACACTAGGTGATACATTCAGCAGCATTTCCAAAGCATTCAAGGCTAGCAGTGAAACTGAATTACTTATACCTCCTAAGGAGGATACTTGATTAATCTATTTTCTGTTATGTAATTTTGTTTCTTAAAATAAGCATATAAGCATACCTAGCTGTTAGATGCCATAAATCTCAAATAAAATAATAGAAAATCAAACATTTATTGATCCAATTAAAAATTGTTTATAGAAACAGAACACTATAGAGATGCTTTGGTAGTCATTTGATTTCCCTGGCCACTGATGCTGATATATTTGAGTAAGAATTAATAAGCCAGTTAACGTTTCATTTAATTTTTTGAGAAAAAATGGTATTTAGTGGTAAAATCATGTATATTGCTTTTCGTAATTAAAAGAAATGTTGACTGTCAATATAAGAAAAAAATATGAAAAGAATATATTTTGGTTTAAGTAAGGGAAAATACATTTTTGGGAAGTAGTCTGTCCTCATGGAATTTATACAATAGTAGAAATGACAAAGAGTAAATAAACAAGTAATTACAAATGCCATAGTTGTTATAGACATGAAAGGAAAGAGTGGTCCATGAAATATTTACAAGGGATTTAACCTGGTTTCTGGGCTTAAGGAAAGGTGACTAAAATTGAACTGATAGTCACAAAGTCTCAAATTATCTAATTATGAGTTTTAAGTGCCTGAGTGGCAATTGGAACTGGAAGACAATAGATGCTTTAAATTTTTTTTTTTTGAGTTTTGTGAGTTTCTTCAATTTGTAATTATTTTTTGTTTTGTTTTTTTTAAATTTGTTTATTTATTTTTGGCTATGTTGGGTCTTCATTGCTGCGTGAGGGCTTTCTTTGGTTGCGGTGAGCAGGGGCTATTCTTCGTTGCGGTGTGTGGGCAGCACAGGCTCTAGGCACAGCAGGCTTCAGTAGTTGTGGCACGTGGGCTCAGTAGTTGTGGCTCACGGGCTCTAGAGCTCAGGCTCAGTAGTTGTGGTGCATGGGCTTAGTTGCTCCACGGCATGTGGGATCTTCCCAGGCCAGGGCTTTAACCAGTTGGCAAGGCAGATTCTAAACCACTGCACCACCAGGGAAGCCCTGTAATTATTTTTAAAAGCAAAATTTTTGGAGTTTTCTTAGTAGTCATTGGGAAGGGCTAAGAACTACATTTATAGAGTAAGATAGGAAATATTTCCATTCTGAAGATTAAACCTAGAGTTTTTTTACATTAAGGGAAAAACTCAGGTAAAAACTACTCTGTTGACACTTTTTTAGTCCAAATTATTTCGATTGTCAGTAGAAGTATGAGAAATTTAGATTTAGAAATTTGTTTTCTTCAAGCCGTTATTGGTAGTTGGCAGGAAAGTACACATTTCCTTTAAGCAAGAGTGTTAAAATGTCTGTTTCATTGTATTTTCCATTTAAGAAGCAACCCAAATTCTCTAAACTCTGAACTCTTTAAACTCCAAGTTCTCTTTAAAAAAAAAAAAAAGGTAATATTTTTAAAAATCCCAACCAGAAAAGATTATGAAACAGAAACTTAGAAAACTTGAAAATTTGGAGTTTCTTATGTAATCTTAGACCTAAAATGCCATTATCTGATCTATTGCTGAAAAAAGGAACCTTTGTTAATTTCTCAGTTTTATATGAACCATCTCAGTCTTTTTTCTTTGTTTTCATTTTCACCTTGATTTTGAGATACTATTTTTTTTTAATTTTTTATTTTACATTGGAGAATATTTGATTAACAATGTTGTGTTAGTTTCAGGTGTACAGCAAAGTGATTCAGTTATACATATACATGTATCTTTTCTTTTTCAAGTTCTTTTCCCATTTAGGTTATTACAGAATATTGAGCAGAGTTCCCTGTGCTATACAGTGGGTCCTTGTTGTTTATCTATTTTAAATATTGCAATGTGTACATGTCAGTGGGATACCATTTTAAACAAGACATTTACTGGTCACTTAGTCTGTGCCAGGCACTATTCTGTGACTTTTTTCTATTAATTGATTTAATCCTCACAACTGAATCTCTAAGGTTTATATGATTATGGCCATTTTAAAGGTGAGGACCCAGTGAGGCACCAAGAGGTTAAGAAACCTAGTGATCTGCCCAAGGTAACACAGCTGATAAGTGGTAGATAAAAGTAAATTGTTAGCTTGATATTTAGGAATAATTAGACGTAACTTGTCTATAATCATATTGCATTTTTTCTAATATTAGCTTATTTTTTGTTTGTTTTCCAGGATTTGTTGATGTACCTATTACAGCTGGTCCAAGCTCTCAAATATGAAAATTTTGATGACATAAAGAATGGATTAGAACCCACCAAGAAGGATAGTCAGGGTTCAGTGTCAGAGAGTGTGTCGAATTCTGGAATAAATTCTGCAGAAATAGATAGGTACGGATATACAGGGAGGAATTATTTTCAAATCTGATAGTTTTCCACCTTTTCAGATTGTCTTCTTTTCTTTTTCCCCAGATGTACTGAACCCTAAGTTGGAAGTTTTACCAGTGAATATGGCATGTGCACTCACAGAACACAAACCACTATATTACAGGGCAGTGTTTTGCAAGCTATACAGTCAGAATTCCTTAGTTAAAATCTTTATTCTGCCACTTACTAGCTGTGTAAACTTGTGTAAATTAAATATTCTCTGTGTGGCCCCAGTTTCTCATCTTAAAAACGGGGATATAGCAATAGTAACCTTTAAGGATTGTTGAAAGATTAAATGAGTTAATACATAAAGCATTTAGAAAAGTGTCTGACACATGGTGCTTTGTGTCAGATATTGCTATTCACGCAAAAAAAAAAAAAAGAAAGATGCGGCAAGTTAGTGGACTCAAATACTTTATTGTAAAGTTGTATTTTTTACTGACTGTTTTTCACCTCTTCAGTAGTTAAAACAACCTGTTAGTTGAATTGAAAGTCAGCTATTAACAGTAATAACAATTAAGAACTCCCACCTCTGTAGCAGACACCAAGAGATGGTCCACATATATTAAACCTGTTATTAGTAGTCCTCTGAGGTAGGTATTCATATCCCTAATTTAGATATGAAGGACTGACGTAGAAGTTAAGTAAATTGCCCAAAGTTTTTTATTTTGCAAATTAGGTAGAGTTGACTCCATAGCCCTTGTTCTTTCTGTTTTGCCATTTTGCTTTTCATAAAATCTTAAAATTTGAGATAAATAGGAACATTTGGGTGAGAAATCTGAGGCTAAGGTATAAAGTTGTTTTGTGAAGGTCATGAGATTTGTCAGTGACAGAGGAGGTCTAGAATTCAGATTATCTGAATTAGTACAATTATTTTGATTATCATGTGAGTTCAAGGTTATATTTCTGAATTTTTCGTAATGATAATGCTGTTTTTATCTTCTGTTTTTCATTTGCAGGAGAACTGAGAAACAGGAAAAAAGCATTTTTTCTTACGTAGGCTGCTTTGTGTTTTTCTGTTTTTATGAGAAGAGACCTCTTACATTTTCTTCCACTGTACATTGGAGGCCTTCAGTCTCTAGTGATGCTTATTTAACTTTGTCTTACTTATGCCCCCTAGAACGTTTTATTGGAAGTCTATTTAAAATTTCATGATAGGTTGTAAACTATAACCCAGTATTTCCCAAATTATGGTCTGCTGGTCACTAATATGTATGTTTTCTAAAAAGGTTAAAAAAGGTAGGGGTTGTCTTGTGGTCAAATATGTTTGGAAGATACTGGCTTAAAGTAAAATGTACTTTTTTAAAAAAACTATAGTATTTATCAGAAACTTTAATACATGCAAACTTGCACATACATCCCAAAGAGGCTATTACCCATATTCTCTGACTATGCAGCCTCTTTTTCCAGAACATAATGTGACTCTAGTGCTGCACAGAACATACTTTAGGAAGTAGTGCTTTAACCAGACACAGTTGAGGTGAACTATGCTAAAAATGTGTATCTTCTCTTACAGAAAGAATATTTGACATATCAGTGATATCTCCTATTATTTTTTCAGCTCCCAAATTATAACCAGCCCTCTTCCTCCAGTGTCTTCCCCTCCTCCTGCATCTAAAACAAAAGAAAGTTCAGATGGTGAAAATCTGGAAGTGAGTACAAAGCTTTTCAGGTTTCCTATAGGAGAGATCCTACAAGATAAACGTTTAATGTTGGTCTTGAAAATATTGATTTTGATTAATAAACTAAATATTACAACTTTATTAAATAACCTGGTTTATGATGCATGTTTATAACTTTTCCTCCCAACAAAAAGTGCCATCTTCAGTTCAAGGCATTTTATTGGTGCTTTGGACATATAAATGAATTCAAATGCAGTGTGAAAATAAACTGGGCTTAAATATTTTTTTAAGGAAACTCAGAATATTTATTGCTAACACATTTATGAACATTACTGTAATTGTTGGTGTTTGTGATTACATTGTAGAAATGTATGACTTTGATACTAGGGGAAATACGCTAAGCTGCTGTTTTTAGCTTATACAGAAAAATTAAGTTCTTTTAGCTAAGCAGAGTAATTTTTGAGGTACGACAGGTCTTTTTGGCTAGTGCTACTCTGAAAATTATATTTGGGAGTGCATTTGCAGAAGTTGATCTTGTATGTATTGTTGATTTTTCTCCCTAAGACTTCTAATTTGAGAAGAATCTTTCACACCCCTGATGTTGAAAATAAATAATACATACTTGATATTAGAAAGAAGATTGATTTTCTAAATGTATATATTATTGCTTTTAGTAAAATTTTAGGAGTTAATGTTGATAACTGAGTGACGTTTGTTTTCAGTATTAACTGTTAACCAGAGTTTGCTTGTCTGCCTACCTCTTGATGTATTCGAAAATACTGAAAAAAAGAATTTGAAATTACAGGATCATAGAATCCTTAGGGGAGCCCTTTGAGGAATCATTCACCTCCAGTTTCATTATTTTGCCCTTTCAGAACTAAGGGATTGATTCAGTAATCAGTTCATTCACACGTTTTTGTTTTCTTTGCTTTTTTTTTTGTTTTTTTTTTTGCGGTACGCGGGCCTCTCACTGTTGTGGCCTCTCCCGTTGCGGAGCACCGGCTCCGGACGCGCAGGCTCAGCGGCCATGGCTCACGGGCCCAGCCACTCCGCGGCATGTGGGATCTTCCCAGACTGGGGCACGAACCTGTGTCCCCTGCATCGGCAGGTGGACTCTCAACCACTGCGCCACCAGGGAAGCCCGAAAAACTAACTCTTCATGGTTTGGATGATACCATACATCCCTTGTTTTCCTCTTCACCTCTCTGGCTGTTCCTTCTTGGTTTCCTTTGTCAGCACTTTCTCCGCTGCTTGACACTTTATTGTTCCTCAGGGTCCTCTTCTTTTCTCAATTTATCCTCTTGCACTAGGCTGTAGTGATAAACTCAAATTTATATTTTTAGCACACTTCTCTCATCTGAGTTTTAGATTCATATATTCCAAATATGATTTCTACTGTATATCTGACAGGCATTTCAAACTTGATGTTTCAAAATACATCTCTCTCCCCCACACACTCTTGCCTGTTTCTCACCTGGAATTTCCATCTGTGATGTAACAAATCAACCCGTTTGCTAAATCCATAAATTTGGGAATTACTGTCAATTCTTTTCTTCTTCCTACTTCCTCTCCATCAGCAAGTTCTATTAATTATATTTCCAAAATATTTTAATGATCTGTTACTTCACTCTATCTCCACTCTCACCGTTTACTCTTCTAGACTACTGTAATAGCATCCTGACTGATCTCAGGTCTGTACTATTCAGAGCAAATAGAGTCATCTTCAGAAAATGTAAATCAGATCATCTCACTCTCCTGCTTTAGATCTTTTGTTGAGTAGCGATTGCCTTGAAAATAAAATCCAGAATGGGGGTGGCTGCCGTGGCTCTGGCTGCCCTGGCGATGGGTGTCTGACCCTGATCGCAGGTGGCGGTGAGGTACCTTGTTTTTCTGACAAGAATTGACCATGTTGGAAGGAAAGGAAGCTATCTGTGCAGACTGCTGTCTGTGGAACCTTTGAAGACGATAAAATAGTGTTCGATTCTGTAGGGGGCGCCTCTGGATCAAGCTATGGTGGAAAATGTTCCAGAAAGACAAAAAGCGACAGAGCAGTAGCAGCTCCCAGAATACTGAAATCAGTACTAAGAGCAAGTCTGTAGATTCCAGCCTTGGAGGGCTTTCTTGATTCAGCACTGTGGCAAGCCTTGATATTGATTACACCCAGAGCTCAGTACAAAGCAACAGTCATTCAGATACCTGTGCAGAATTTCGAATAAAGTATGTTGGTGCCATTGAGAAACTGAAACTCTCTGAGGGGAAAAGTCTTGAAGGGCGACTAGACCTGATAAATTATATAGATGTCACCCAGCAAGATGGAAAGTTGTCTTTTGTTCCTCTGGAGGAAGAATTTATTAGTTGTTTCTAAGTATGGTATAAAAGTATCCATATCAGATCAGTATGATGTTTTGCATCGGCACACTCTATATTTTATCATCTGGATGATCTGTTATGATGATGGTCTGGGGGCAGGAAAAACCTTATTGGCTCTGAAGACCACAGATGCCAGCAACGATGAATACAGCCTGTGGGTTTACCAGTGCAGCAGCCTGGAACAAGCACAGGCAATCTGCAAAGTTTTATCCACTGCGTTTGACTCTGTATTGTCATCTGAGAAACCTTGAATTGTGCAATAAGGGGAAGTAGACTTCATGTGCAAGTTCAGCTGTTTTCTCAATAGTTCTGTTTTCAGTCTGTGGTGTTGAACTATTATAGAAATATGAGCTATCCTTTGCTCTAGATTTTCTGAAGAAAATGCAGTGTATAAAATAGCAATCATTTATTTTTCTGTTAAAATGTGTCTTATTTTTTTTTTAATAGAGAAGGGACTTCCCTGGTGGTCCAGTGGTAAAGAATCCACCTTCCAGTGCAGGGGATGCGGGTTCCATTCCTGGTCAGGGAACTAAGATCCCACATGCCGCGGGGCAACTAAGCCTGGGCGCCACAACTACTGAGCTCACGCACCTCAACTAGAGAGACTGTGTGCTGCAAACTACAGAGCCCATGCGCTCTGGAACCCACTCACCACAACTACAGAGCCCATGCACCCTGGAGCCTGCGTGCCACAGCTAGAGAAGAGAAAACCCGCATGCCACAACTAGAGAGAAGCCCGCACACTGCAGTGAAGAGCCCGTGCACCACAACGAAAGATCCCACATGCCTCAACGAAGATCCCACATGCCGCAGCTAAGACCCAATGCAGCCAAAAAAATAAAATAAAATAAATAAAATAAAATCCATACTCAGTAGTGTGACCTTAAAGGTCTTCACAATTTGGCTTTTACCTACCTTTTCAGCATCCTTTACTTTAGTGTTCACCATATTTCAGCTACATTGAGCCTTTTAAAAGTTCCTTGAACAGTTAGGTTCAGGGCCTTTGTACATATCGTCATTTTGGTCTTGCCTAAATATCACATCCTCATTGCTGCCTTCTGACCTCCCAATCTAAACTATTGCTGTGACTTCCTTTAATGCTTCTCTCCTCCACCAAATGTTAAGCTTCCAATAGGACAAGGAACTCTGCAAACCATGGCGTCCTTAGCCTCTCACATATCACCTGGTTTAGAATAAATACTGGATGGTGGGATGGAGGGATAGATGGATGCATGAAAATATGATCTGTGACATAGATATGTAGATGAAAACCGATAGGCAAATGTAGACTCTCTTATTTCCCCCTTGTTAATAGCAGATGGTAATATAATATGTATACATTTCTTTTAATTCTTTCAGCAAGATCTGTGTACCTTCTTGATATCAAGAGCCTGCAAAAACTCAACACTGGCTAATTATTTATACTGGTATGTGAAATAATTTTTTGTTTATTTTCTCATCACTGTTCAAGACTGTTTTTTCCCATACTATAAACAAAAAGGCAGTTTAAAATAAAGTATGAGCAATCATCAAAAGCCTATGCAGTATTTATATCTAGCTGTATTTCTTTTTTTTTTTTTAACATCTTTATTGGGGTATAATTGCTTTACAACGGTGTGTTAGTTTCTGCTTTATAACAAAGTGAATCAGTTATACATATACATATGCTCCTGTATCTCTTCCCTCTTGCGTCTCCCTCCCTCCCACCCTCCCTATCCCACCCCTCCAGGCGGTCACAAAGCACCTAGCTGATATCCCTGTGCCATGCGGCTACCTAGCTATCTACCTTACGTTTGTTAGTGTATATATGTCCATGCCTCTCTCTCGCCCTGTCACACTAGCTGTATTTCTTTACAACTGTGCTAATGGAAATGCTTATTAGCACCACAGTTTCTCTTCCTTTCACTAACTTTCCAGGATCTAAGATAAAACTGGGTAAGATAATCGTTTTTTTCAGTTTGATGTCTGCTTGCCTTTTATGCTATTTAAGTAGTGTAAGTATGATACTTCACTGTCCTTCAGGATTATGTATTTTCACATTATTTACTAAGACACTGGAATCATGCAAGGACAGAAAATTAGAATTTGAAGTTACTTATACATGAGGAAACTGAGGCAGAGGCATGATGTAGCTGAACTTGGTAAAACCTGAACTAGGATTGGATCATTTATCTCACATTTTGCCATTTACAGAGTATTGTCAGTGACCTTTTCTCATTTGTTCTGTGAAGTTAAATAGGGCAAGTGTAAGTATCTATTTTACATGAGAGCAGGTTTCCTGAGTGAGTTACATGAAAGAAAGAGAGGAACTGAGGCATAGAAAAGCTAACTGATTTACTGAGACACAATTAATGTGAAGCATGGCTCCCTTTATCTGTCATAGAATTCTAAAGTGTAAAGAACAAGTACCTTAAGCCACAATGAGAAATATTTTGGTTCAGTTAAAGAAAGCACTAGGATTAAACACTAGACAAGAGAGCCTTATCTAGTTTTATAGAGCAAACAAAGGGCAGAGCCAGTTGGGTAAGCTCTACCTGAAGCTTTCTGTACATTTGAGAGAACATTTTTTTAAACTTCCTGAGAGACTTGATACTTTTTTGTTGTTGTTGTTCTTGTTGTTTTTGCGGTGTGCGGGCCTCTCACTGTTGTGGCCTCTCCCGTTGAGGAGCACAGGCTCCGGACGCGCAGGCTCCGCGGCCATGGCTCATGGGCCCAGCTGCTCTGCAGCATGTGGGATCTTCCTGGACCCGGGGCGTGAACCCGTGTCCCCTGCATCGGCAGGCAGACTCTCAGCCACTGTGCCACCAGGGAAGCCCAAACTTGATACTTTTTTTAACTGTAGAAATGATCTCTGATCTAATCTTACTGCTCAGTTTACTGCGGTTAACTTAAACAGTACAAATTAATAGCTGTTCATTCTGAAAGGTAATTGTTTTTGAAGAATAGTGAGGTGTTTTGCTTTCCGTGTTTTAGACTGAGTTGGAGAACTGTCCTGTAGGTCAAATCATTAACTTCATTTTCCCACTCTCCAAACATAATCTTATCTGGATACTGCTCTTGTAGCCAATAAGTAGATAAATAAATCAAGGCTCTTTAATAAACGTGGGTGTTCATTACTTACATAACAAATATTTCTTTAGTTTCAGCCTTCACGGTTCTCTTCTCATTGAAGAAAAACCACTTTCAACAGTCTTAACTAAATCACTCATTTTTTCCCCTTTCAACAATCTTAACTAAATCACTCATTTTTCCCCCTCTTTGGGACCTGTAATTTTATTTTTCCTGTTGTCCTTAGTAGTGGAAGGAAAAATAGTTCCTTGCTTTTACTTTAGAATTTAATATAATATTCATAAACCACGTTTCCCTCACCGTAACTTTCAGTGTGTCCTTGAAAATACTTCCACAAACTGTTTTGGCTAGTTGTTAATCACCATTTTTACTTTGAAAATTTTGCTTAGAAATCATTGTATTACCAGATAGGTACTATTTCCTTTTAATGTAACCTCTTGCTTCCTAATGTTCTCCATATTCTAATCTGAATTCTTAAGTGTATGTCTATTCACTGGTGTTATGGAAAAATATTTCCTCATAAAAATCTGGGTAAATAATTCAATGGAAATTAAAAAAAAATGTGTGGGGCACAGTGCCAAGGTTTGAGTAAGTACTTTTAAGCTTCTTAGGTATTTAAAATTAAGGTTTTATATATTTTAAAAATCATTTACTAAGAATTCCTTTATAGATATTTTTATTTCCTTGTGATATTCATGGAAAGTTTACTGTGGCTCAGAATTTATAGTCTAGAGTAGTCACTATTATAAGAGCTATATGTATGTATACTGATTATGTGGTGTTTAAAATTATGTATTCTTTGGATTTGAGTATAGACCAGATTTCATTGTAAAATTTGAAATTAGTTGCGATAGCATCTTTGATATCTTATTTCAAGTAGGAAGAGTTTTCAAACCATTCTGAAAGCAGCTGAACAGTAGGAAACCTATTAGATGAGCAGTTTCCAACGAGGCAACAGTTTCTGTTCAGAAAGAGCACTTTGTTTTCTCCATAGATAATAAACAAAGTACAGCCCTAGCTCCCAGTCTTATAAGCATTCCATCAAACTTAGATTTGATTTGTGTTTTCCCACTATGTCTCTGATTCACTGATGCAATAGCATGTGCTATGTCTATTCATTCTCTGAGGTGTAATTGTTTTTCCCATATTTATAATCTGCATATTTCATATTCAGAAACACTCATGGGGAAGAAAAAGCTATTGATGTGGACTTCTGACTTTGGTACACACCACTTTTGTGATTGTAGGGTGAAAATATGGGAAATAATTTCAAATAATTGACTTAAAATAATCATTCTATTCCTTTGAACCTGGACAGAATAGTATAAAAATATTAATCACATTTAACAATTTATATGCCTCTCAGTCTAAGCTTACTCTGTTATAACAGATATATTAAAATATAAATTTTACTTGATTGTGCTATTTCCTTTTGAACATTTTGAATTTCCTTGTTCATTTGTTCCCTTTCCATTGATTTAAACAGGATTCCTGCTATAGTTGAATCCTTAGAGGCCTACAGTAGTACAGACAATCCTTTTAAAATGAATAGTGTCAACATTTTAAACCTCAGAGGGGAGTTATAGTCTCCAGTCTGTAAAGTGTTGGGCATCAGGATCTATAAATTGTTGCAGTTTTTTTTATTTTTATAGCTATTCCAGTATGTTGAAATTGAAAGTAAACTTTGGCTGCCTTGACATGTTTTTCTGTAACTTTTAAGACCTTTCAAGGTAATAAAGGTTATTTACCTCACAAAATGAAATTGCCAGAAAACAGGTAGCCCACTGATGTCATCATATGATGGGTACCCAGGCAATTTTGTCTGCATTTCTACTTGAAGATGACAGGTTTCAAGGAAGCACCTGAGAGTGCTTTGTAGAGTCTCCTTACTGCTGAGAACAGAGAATTCAGAAGTGACTCAAATCTAGGTCGTCTAGTCTTGATCTAAATTTGTCCTTCATTTTGGAAATGACACTGTCATTTTTATTTTAGATGGACTTTTCCTTTGCATAAGAACTTTGGCTTGAATGATTTTGAGAGGTGTTTGATATGTGACCTTTATCACGTAGCTGCAGCCATTGTGTTTACTTGGCAGTCAATGGGACCTGAACAAAGCAGTGGAGCCGTATATTGTGGTCATCTGTATTACTCCTTTAGAAAGGAGTTGCCGTGTAAACACAGGAAAACACAATAAATATACTAAGGTGATGGGAATAGTCAAGGACTTTAAAGGGTTAGAGAGTATGGACTGGGTTTGAATCTGTATTGACAGTTTCAAGATTGAAAAATGCTTTCTTGAATTTTTGGTTTAGAACTCTCATTCTATAAGGTAGATATAGTGTCAGGGTTTAGTTCCTCATACCACTTTACAGAAAATTCTATTGTTAGGTTATACAACTCTGAGGACTTCCAGATCACTTGGGAAGTCAGTGGGAGAAGGCTCTTAACTTTTATCAACCTTTAAAACATTTCTTTGTGTAAGACTATATTGTGTATGTCAAGGGCTACTAAAGATTTTTAAGATACGGAATCTGGCATCGGTTTCTTCATAATCTCTGAAAGGAGCTAGGAGTAAATGTGTGAAACAGTGACGAGCAAGGTAACATTATCAGCACAAGTTGTATGAGAGGCTGTGCCTGTTTTAGGAAGGCAGAGGAGAAAGAAGTTGTTAGGGTTTGCAGAAACTTCCTGGAAGAGACGGAGTGTCACCTGTATTTGAAGGGTGGGTAGAAAAAGGAAAGGTGGAGGTGGGAAGGTGTTTCTAGACAGTACCGAAATATGAGCGAAAGCACAAAGTCGGGGTGGTGGGGAGTCGAGCTGATTGGAGTGTGAATGCATGAATTGGAGATGCTGGAAGTTTGAACCAGAAGCTTATGGCCACAGAAACTGTTTTAAAATAGTAGAAAAGCGGGAACCATTGATGTTTTTGTTAATATAGGTGGGACATGATGAAGGTAGTTTAAAGAAGAAAAATTTGGATGATTGTATTGATCAATAAGGGGTTTGTTTTTAGAGTTAGAGAAGCTAGGTGAGAGGTATCTGCTGGTTGATTCCAGACAGGGCTTGCTAGTGGTACAGTACAACTACAAGAAGCATTTTTTAGGAAAAAATCAACAGGGCCTAGTGACTAATTGGATATAGGTGTTTGAAGTGAGGGAGTGTAACCTAAGTTTGGCTCTAGATGCACAGACCACAAATTAAACACAAAGTGCCGGTTATAGTTTTAGGTAGAACCTGTGTTCTCTGGTTTGGTTACAACCTCACGTGATTCAAACTGTAGCCTAAATGCCTGAAATATTGATAATGCCTTCAATTGAGATAGAAAAATAACTCATTTAGTGTGATAACTTCAGTTTTACACATCTTCAGTTAAAAATGACAAGCAGTGTCTTGAAAAGGGGATCTGCTGCTTGAAAATTAGGGTAGTTGAATATAAAAGCAGATCACCTAATGACATGCAAAGTTAGGCCTTAGATGTGGGAAAAGGGATATATATTAATATTTGAGAATTATCAACATTGAGATACTTGTTAAATCCATGAAATTGTAAGCTCTCTGCTCTTATGAAGTTTACCTTCTAGATGGTTAACTATTTTCTTTCCAGAAATAGTATAAAGGAAAATAGTAAGCCCTGTGATTTGAGATTTGTGAAATACTATCAGTTAAGGAAGTTGAAAAGTTTCATGTGGTTTTTAAAGGTCAAACTGTGAGAGTAAGCTTAGTAGAAAGAATTCTAGCCGAGGACCCCAGAGTCCAGGGTTCTGATTTCAGCTCTTCAGTCAACCAATTGTGCCACCGTGGGCAAGATACAGCCACCTCTAAGTTTCGCTATTGATAAAATAAGCAAGTTTGAAACTGCACATCATTATCCACTGAAATCAGTTTTAAGGCTCACAGTCTAGCATTTGTTATTTAAAGAAAAGTGAAATAGAACAGAGTAACAAATATTAACATATTGTTCATAGAATATTGCTTTGTGAAATTTTTTTCAGTTTTATGCATCTGTGTGCACACATGGGCTGTGTGTAACGAGTTGTGATCTAAAATGTATTTGTTAGTATGGCTTGTTCCAATCAGAACAGTTGGAAACACTGGATTAGACAACCTCTAAAATCTAATCCAGTTCATTGTTTATATGATTATATGAATTGTATAAGCAGTTTAGGTTTAAGACTATATTTATATTTAAAATTTTTTAACTCTCTAAAACCACAATTTTATGATGGAAAAATTGAAGATTATATATGGAATTTTGAGAAATGGGGAAATTGGATATGAAAGGAAAAATTAAGATTTTAATTTATCTTTCAGAGGTATGTTAATGAAAAAAGCTTCAGTGTTGTTGTTGTTGTTTTTCCCCAGAATAAGAGAGCCTTATGTAATACCAAAAGTATTACATATATTTTGAAAATATTTTTGTTCATGAGTTACTTGGTAGATTTGTGAGCTTATATAATTTCTGAAGATGTTAATGCTCTGTGTACCTCATAAAGCATTAGGAGAAAATGCTCATTTTGATGCCAAATTTTTTAGAAAGTCTAGGATATTGTACACATTAAGGCATTCTGTTATTAATTTACCTTTATAGAAGGTTATATATGTTGTTCCTGAATTTTCAGCTTTAAAAAGAGTGATAATAAAATGTGTTTCATTACTCCCATTAATTATTTTTGCAAATTTGAATTGATCTGTTTTAATGGAAAGGCATAAGTGTTTACAAAATGATTCTGAGTTTCATTTCACATTTACATGAATGACTTAACATTTTTAAGGTATGTGATAGTGGAATGTGAAGATCAAGATACTCAGCAGAGAGATCCAAAGACCCATGAGATGTACTTGAATGTAATGAGACGGTTCAGCCAAGCATTGTTGAAGGTAACCATTTAATGTAGGGGTTGGCAGACATGGTGCATGGGACATATCCGGCCTATTGCCTGTTTTGGTATGCCCTATGAGCTAAGGATTTTTATTTTTAAATAGTTGTAAAAAATCACAAGAGGAATAATACTTTGTGACACATGAAAATTATGTGAAATTCACATTTCAGTGTTCATAAGTAAAATTTTATTGGGACATAGTCATGCTCATTTGTTTTCATATTGTTTGTGGTCACTTTTGTACTCCAATAGGAGATAAATATCTGGTATGGAATCTCTATAGTCAACAAGACCTAAAGTAGTTAATCCTTGGCCCTTTATAGTAAGTTTGTTGACCCCTGATTTAGTAAAATAAACCTATACCTGGAACAAAAAACCCCCAAAGCTTTGCTTTTTTATTTCACTCTCTGTTTTCTGTTTTTATTTTTAAGACTAGGTTTATTTATATAAATCTGGTAATGATCATATTGCAGATACTTTCTATATAACTTATATTTTTGCTTTTATAGTTTCTAGAGGTATGTAAGCCATTTTTCGCCCGGTATTCTTGTGATTGTTAAGGCAGTGTCACAGTTCAGCCAGCAGAAGGTGCACAGGCAATGAAAAGAAAACTGTCATGACATTAACTGTGATTTGCTGTAGAAATGTAATATTTTACTTCAGAACATCTTTATCTGCTGTTTCATGTTTCATTTAAATTTTCTTAAAAACTTAAGTCACATCTTATTGAACTCTTTGAGTCTAAACTTTTGTACAGTTCTCAGAGGCCAGAGATTCTCTATATCTAACTGACTAGCAGATAAGCAGTTGGTCCTCTCATAATCTCTGTCACTTATAACCTTTGTCATCCTGTGAGGAAATTTCACTTTCTTTGAGCATAAATTTCCATCTTCGAAATAAGGATGACAATTGCCAAGCTGCCTTTATCAATGTAATTGGAGAGATTAAATGAGAAAATGTTATTTTATAATATTTTATGAACTGAGAATTACTACATGAGACTTTATAGCATTTAGTTTTTATGACTTCTGTTTTACTAAGCAAGCATATCATATTACTCTTTGAGAACTTTTTTTTTTAAGTATATATTTATTTCCTTGAGGATAGTATTGTTTCTACTGTATGCCCAGCACATTTTTGAAGAAATTATAGGCTTCCAGATATTTATTGAACTGGTGAGTGAATACATTTTGGGTGAATGAATTCTGTCTTGTCACATGGTTGCGTGTGGGAAAAAAAGTACAATTTTTGATAGACCAGTATTCGCTGAAGATTCAGTTAATTTTCAATTGTGGAAGAGTTGGCGGTGTTTAAGATAACAGATTTATCATTATCTCTGAATAAAGATAATTTTTTTCAATACTATGTGGTGAAGTTTGTGGCTATTAAAAGAATAAAGATCACCCATGCTATTGAAGAAACCCTAATCATTATGCTACATAGAATTAATTTTTCTTTCCTTTGAATCCCTTCAGGGTGATAAGTCTGTCAGAGTTATGCGTTCTTTGTTGGCTGCACAGCAGACCTTTGTAGATCGGCTGGTGCACCTAATGAAGGCAGTTCAGCGTGAAAGTGGAAATCGTAAGAAAAAGGTAAACCTTTGGGCTTTGCTTTCTGTTTATGACTAATAATGTCTTGGTATCATAAAATACTGAGTTTTGGTACTGTCTCTTTGGTTGATATATTTTATGGAATTCTTATCATGCAATTACGGCCATACCTCGGAGATATTGCAGGTTCTGTTCCAGACCACTGCAGTACAGCAAATATCACCGTAAAGTGAGTCACATGAATTTTTTGGTTTCCCAGTGCATATAAAAGTTAGGTCTACACTATACTGTATAGTATAGACTATACTGTAGTCTGTTAAGTGTGCAATGGCATTATGCCTAAAGAAAGCAATGTATATACCTTAATTAAAAATATTGCTAAAAAACGCTAGCCATCATCTGAGCCTTCAGAGAATCATACTCTTTTTGCTGATGGAAGGCCTTGCCTCGATGATGTGGCTGCTAACTGATCAGGGTGGTGGTTGCTGAAGGTTGGAGTGGCTGGGGCAATTTTGTAGAATAAGACAACAATGAAGATAATTAATCTTTGCCACGTCAGTTGACTCTTCCTTTCACTAACAATTTGTTTTCACTGTAGCATGCAGTGCTCATTGGCAGCATTTTTACCCATAGTAGAACTTCTTTCAAAATTGGAATTAGTTCTCTCAAACCCTGCCACTGCTTTATCAACAGACTTTATGGAATATTCTAAATCCTCTGTTTGTCATTTCACCAATATTCATAGCATCTTCACCAGAAGTAGATTCCATCTCAATAAACTACTTTCCTTTGCTCATCCCTAAGAAGCAGCCTCTCATCTGTTAGTTTCATCACGAGTTTGCAGCAATTCAGTCACAGTTTCAGGCTCCCCTTCTAAGTCTAGCAAATCTTGCTAGTTACTTCTTCCACAGAAGTCTTGAACCTCCCAAAGTCATCCTAAGAGTTGGAATCAACTTCTTCCAAACTCCTGTTAATGTTGATATTTTGACCTCTTTCTGTGAATCACAGTTATTCTTGATGGCATCTAGAATGGTGAATTCTTTCCAGAACATTGCCAATTTACTTTGCCCATATCCATCAGAGGAATCACTAACACTCACAGCCTTATGATAGTATTTTTTAAGTACTGAGACTGGAAAGTCAAAATCAGACTTTGATCCATGGGCTGCAGAATGGATATTATGTTAGCAGGTATAAAAAACATTAACTCACTGTACATCTTCACCAGAACTCTTGAGTGACCAGGTGCATTGTCAATGAGCAGTCATATTTTGAAAGGAATCTTTTTTTTTCTGACCAGTAATCTCAACAGTGGGCTTAAAATATTCAGTAAACCATATTGTAAACAGATGTGATGTCATCCAGGCTTTGTTCTTTATTTATAGAGCAGGCAGTAGATTTAGCATAATTCTTAAGAGCCTTAGGATTTTTGGAATGGTAAATAAGCGTTGGCTTAAACTTCAAGTTGCCAACTGCATTAGCCCCTGACCAGAGAGTCAGCCTGTCCTTTGAAGCCTTGAAGCAAGGCATTGACTTCTCCTCTCTAGCTGTGAAAGTCCTAGATGGCATCTTCTTCGAATATAAGGCTGTGTCATCTACCGCTTTTGTTAATTATCTTAGCTAGATCTTCTGGATAACTTGCTGCAGCTTCTACGTCAGCACTTGCTGCTTCACCTTGCACTTTGATGCTATAGAGATGGCTTCTTTCCTTAAACCTCATGAACCAAGCTCTGCTAGCTTCAAACTTTTCTTCTGCAGCTTTCTCACCTCTTTCAGCATTCATAGAATTGAAGAGAGTTAGGACTTGCTCTGGGTTAGGCTTTGGCTTAAGGGAATGTTGTGGCCGGTTTGATCTTCTATCCAAACCACTAAAACTGTCTCCGGATCAGCAATAAGGCTGTTTTGCTTTCTTATCATCCATGTGTTCATAGTAGTTTAATTTCCTTCAAGAATTTTTCCTTTGCATTCACAATTTAGCTGTTTGGCATAAGAGGCCTAGCTTTTGGCCTGTCTAGGCTTTCAACATGCCTTCCTCACTAGCTTAATTATTTCTAGCTTTTGATTTAAAGTGAGAGATTTGTGACTCTTCCTTTCACTTAAACACATAAAAACCATTGTAGGGTTGTAAATTGTCCTAATTTCAACATTGTGTCTCAGGGAATAGGGGAAGAAGAGAGAGGGAGAACAGCTGGTCAATGGGGCAGTCAAAACGCACGTAACGTTTTATCGATTAGGTTCTCCGTTTTATAGGGGCTTGGTTCATGATGCCCCAAATCAATTACAATAGTAACATCAAAGATCACTGATCACAGATCATGATAACAAGTATAATAATAGTGAGAAAGTTTGAAATATTGTGAAAATTACCAAAATGTGACATAGAGACACAAGGTGAGCAAGTGCTGTTGGAAAATTGGCACCGATAGTCTTGCTTGACACAGGGTTGCCATAGACCTTCAATTTGTAAACAATGCAATCAATATCTGCATAGTGCACTAAAGTGAAGTGCAATTAAATGAGGCCTGTTATAGTAATAGGAGTGGTTAGAAGTACAGATTATGTATGGGACTCTATTTTATGAGTTTATATACATTGATTTTTATCCACACAACAACTCTATAAGTTAGGTACTATTATTATCCCAATTGTAAGGAAAAGTAGGTAGTAGGAGGTTAAGTAATTTGCCAGATGTCCTCAGTTAGTAAGTGTTGAAATTAGGATTTGTACCCAGACATTCTGAGTCCATATTTTTATCTACAGTGCTTTTCTGGCTCTCATTTTAGAATCTTAGTATCTTAGAATACAATTTATTTGACATGGAAGGAACCTCTAGAGATTATTTAGACTAGAATTTTTCTGAGAAAAAGAAGGTCCAGAGTAACTCACCCAAGGTTGCAGAACTAGTGATAGTGACTGGCAATGTGTTCTCATGGCCAGTACATTGATTTTGCTCTCAACGGGGTGAGGTTTCTACTTGATGATAATAGATGAGCATCTGTTCTTCAGATGTTATTTTTCCTGATCTTTTGCCCAAATGATATGAAGGATTCATCTGATATCTTCTCTTTACCTAATCCCATAAATGCAAAATCTTTCTTGGTGACATTTGTAAAACACCACAACACATTTTACTGTCCTTCAGAATTGTGAGAGGAAGGCGGAGAGACTAAAAGGTGAAAAATTGAGTCAGGAATTTAAAGGCAGGGGATCAGGTCTGGCAGAGATGTGTGCAGGGAATAATGTTAACGAGGTTAGGGAGGAGAAAATAGGCTGCAGAGAAACACATGTTTATTGAGTCGGCGTTTTCTTTGTTTTTGAGAAGAATCACAAATCCTGGTTAAATAACTAAATTCCTACTGCTGTTCCTCCTGGAGCCCTTCTCTCCAGAGGTGCCCTGGTGAGGAGCAGTGTGACCCCAGTGCCCACCATCAGAAAGAATGCCTGTTCTTTTGACTGTCAGTTTGGGGCATGTATTTAAACCGCAGTTTGTTCTTATGTGACATACTCTTTTGTTCACCACCCATGAGCCTCTGGATACACCTCAGTTTTCGCTGTTCTGGAAGTTGACTCCCTACTGGAGACAGCACTTATAGTCCCCCCAAATAAATGTTGTTTTTGCCACATATTGCAAAACACATATTGTTTTTTCCTATATTTTAAGTCAGACAGTCCTAAATATAGTATCAACATTGGCTAAAAATCTTTTCAGACAGTTTTTCATGATGTGATAAAAGACAAACATAGTTTTATTTACTTAGTTTTACTAGAAACAAGCCCTCGAGTTTTAGTGAAATGCCAAGATGACTCTCTACCACCATTATTTGTGTTATTACTAGGAATAATGAAATGACTACAGCTAATAATTTGCAATCATATGTAATAGTACTTTTCCATCCCTCATAACGAAGTTGGGAGAGAGTTGCCTTGGTGAGTGCAACGGCGTTAAATGTGTGGCCAGGGGATCCATGAGTTAGGTGTCAGATGGTAAAACAAATAATAATATTGTTGCCACCTTCTTTCCTTTGCTGATCTCCTTTAAGGAAAAATTCTCTTGATTGAGGTCTTTGAATGTAGATATTTGAGTTCCAATAAAAATGCATTGATGCCACACTTTTAAAAAACAATTAAAGCTTTCATTTTGAATGTTCAGTAGTCTCTTTTCACTTTGTGTTTCTTTATGTTATAATATTTATTCTATAAAAATGTATCACATGCCTACTGTGTGCCAGGCACTTTTCTAGGTTCTGAGGATACAGAGGTGAATATAAAAATCCCTACCTTTAGAATGTAAGGACCTTACATTCCTGTTGGAGGAGAAAGTTAACAAAATAAGTAAAATATATTTTATGCTAGATAGCGTCATGTGCTTTGGAGAAAAAGCTGGAAAGGGGAATAGGAAGTGCTGGGTTCGAGTATTAAGGCAGCTTTTCACTTCTCAATGGAATAGTCAGGAAGGCCTCACTGAGAGTTGACATTTGGACAGAAACCTGAAGCAAGTAGGGGAGCAAGCCACTGAATAACTAGAGAAGACTATTCCAGCCAGAGGAGCTGCAAGCACAAAGGCCCTGATATGGGAGCATGTGTGACATGTTTGAGAAATAGGAAGAAGCCCAGTGTATTAGGTCAAGTTTTCTCCCTTTAAGAACAAGCTCACCTGTTTAAAGAATGCAATACTCTCACAGCTTTCAAAGGAAATAGATTGTTATTTTGAAATTGAATAGATGGGCTTGATCTAAACACTATAGATGCTGCTAAATGACAAAGCTGTTTCATCATGGCTTGAATTTCTCAATTTCTGAAATCTTGGCTCAATGCAGCGTGCATGTGAGCTAAAGGAAATAAATAAATGGTGATATCTTGGGAAAAGTTCGATCAGACAGAGTCAATGAACAGTAAAAGGTAAGGTCCAAATTCCTCCAAGTAAATTGAGTTTACTTTCTAAACCCAATACATGCAATGGAACAGCTAATGAAATTCTTGCTTAATATTTGGTCATGAGAAATTAAGCTTCAAATGAAATTAGTTTCTCCTTGTGACTTCACAGATCCTTTGAAAATAGAAATTGCATCTTTAAGTCCAGCTTGAGTATATCCCTGATTATCAGTTGCAGCAAGAGAAACATATTCCCTAACCTTATGAAAGTCCAACTTTTCATAGGTCAAGGGATTGCTCCTTTTAAAGCATGCTGCTGCTTTTGTCAGGTGGATTATAAGTGCTTGTCTCTCACACATACTCTCTCCTTTATGTTGTATTACTTCGCATATACTTTTATGGTGCTTTGCAAATATTTTAAAGTTAATAGAATCAGTCTTTATGTCTTTACCATATGCTTTAAAAACCCCTTTTCCATTTTAACCTAATTAGTACTTTCTAACTTGTTCTCCTAGAATGAGAGACTACAGGCATTGCTTGGAGACAACGAAAAGATGAACTTGTCCGATGTGGAACTTATCCCATTGCCTTTAGAACCCCAGGTGAAAATTAGAGGAATAATCCCAGAAACAGCTACATTATTTAAGGTAATTGTGGTGGATCTTTAGACACTACCTTTGAAAAAAGATACCTTTTATTTATCAGTGTGTTTTAAGATCTTTTTGTATTATCAGTAGACATTTTTATGTGAAATGTATAAAATATTTTTATATCTGGATTTTTTAATCTTTAATTTTTGAACTATTTATTAATCACCTGATTTTTCTCATGTAAGCTTTTTTTTAAAAAAAATTAAAAGTTAAATTGCAAACTTAGACATTATAAGTTCCCGTGGTTAGATATGAGTTCTAGTTAACCTATGACTTAAATTTTTTCTTGTATTTTCAAGTGTAGTAATTCTCTTTAGTCCTTAATAGCATGCCAGACTTTCTTTTGGCTGGCCACCACCTGGATAGTTAGAAAGAACTGGTAGCAGCTGCCTTCTCTAAGCAGGCCAAAGGGCTGAGCATCATTACTTGTGAAGAAGCATCATTATCTGCTGGGCATCATATTGAAAGGTCTCTCTGAGGCATGATGTTTTAGGTCTTCTGATTCTAAGGGTGGAAGGGCATAAGTTGCATTGGGATATTACTTTGTATCAGATAAGAAAGGGCTCATAGATCAACAACTTGGGTATATGAAAAGGGGTGTGATTACAGTAAAAAATGGTTGATTTTTTTAAGGGTGTGTTTAAAGGCAGCCCATGGCAGCCCAGCTCACACAACTGCAACGTAAGTTTCATAAAGCAGTACTTAACCTTACTGCATATTATGGACTCTAATAGTTTCTATTCTTTTAAAAACTGTTCTGTTGCATTAATTTTTAAATGTTTGCAACGTATTTAATTGGTTTTAAAACTCATTATTGAATTATATCTTGCAATTTGAAAAATGCTGGTACAGGAGAGAAAATGCAAGTATTTCTTAGTTCTTGCTAGAACTCCCAAATAAGACCTGCTTCTAATATTCTCATTCCCTTAGGACTAATCAAAACCAGTGAATCAAAAAAGGAGTTTTATTATTTTTTTGCAAACAGGATAAAAAAGAATATCTAAGACATAGAGCAGGAGTTGTAAGAGTGGGGCATAAGAATCTATCATTATTGTTAGGTGTATTCTGGATCCATTTTTTCCTTAATAACATAATTTTATAATTATGTCTTATATACACAAAGTAGATGGTCAATAAAATATCATGGGACATCTTTTTAATCCTAATATTCAGTCCTGATTTTTTTCTTCCAGCTCTTATTAAGTATGTGGGCATTCTTAAAAATTCTGAATTGCAGTTAGCAATTAATGGTTCTAGAGTGTTTACTACATAACTCTAGCATTATAATTCTTAACCATTTTTGAGTCATGAATGTCTTTAAGGGTCCAATGAAAGTGATGGATTGGATACTTTAGAATGTTACCCATATGCTTGTACATACACTGAAATGTCTGCACAGAGTTGTAGGGGAATCCATGAATTCCTGTTGTCTTTTTATGAACTCCTTAGAGCTGAAAAGGTTATGCACCTAGTTTTCAGTATTTTTAAACAGTATTTTGTAGACCTTAGCTTAAGAATGAAAGCTAGATCTCCATGGGGAGTGAACCCCTTAAGGCACTGGGATTAGTGCTTAGTTATCCTGAGATTGTCAGCTGCTTGCATTAGATTTCAGATGAAATCTAAATTTCAGAATCAGATCCGAATCTGAAAAGGGAAATTACAACAAAGAACCTCTTGCTTATCATTTATCTTTAGGAAGATCACTTCCAGTTCTTCTTGAGCTTTTGTGAGCTAGGGTACAAGGTAATTTATAAAATAAATTTTGCCTGAGGTGATAAAAGGATACTACAAATTTAAGATAATTTGAAGTTTGGAGTTTCAGTCCACTAGAGGTTGTAGGTTCTAACCATATATTCTTTGAAGCATTTTTGTTGCCTTTTCCCCCAACATTTTATATGAAAGTTTTCAAACATACAGCAAAGTTGAAAGACTTTCACAGTAAACAACTGTATACCCACTTCTTCTATCCTGTTATTAACATTTTACTGTATTTGCTTTGTCACACGTCTGTTCATCCCTCTGTCTGATACTTTTTATGCTATTATTTCTCATGGCCTGTATAAATTAAGGTTATTATTATTTGTTTTCTTTATTAGACTCATTTCTTTTCTTTAGATTATTATAAATTTCCCCACATTTCCATCTTATATAATTTGAAAATAATATTTTTATTTCCAGAGTGCCCTTATGCCTGCACAGTTATTCTTTAAGACAGAAGATGGAGGCAAATATCCAGTTATATTTAAGCATGGGGATGATTTACGCCAAGATCAACTTATTCTCCAAATCATTTCACTCATGGACAAGGTGAACATAACCTTATGTTGGTAGGGAACATATTTTCATTTTAGAAATTGATGATTTAGTGGATATGCTGTGCATGGACAGAATTGTTTTGTAACATTCAGATGCAGTCCTAGAAAGCTGAACAATCTCCACTTGATCTTGAGCAAATTTAGTTGTTTTTGTACACTGCAGGATGGCTCTTATGATTAGTATAAAATGAAACTGCATGTGTTCCTTTTTATAAAAATGTTTTTCCCAGTTAAGTTCTTTCAGTGTTAAACTTAGTAATTTTCTTCCTCTTAGTCAATTAAATCTTCTTCTTTTTAAAATCCTGTTTCTGTCCCTGGCTTATAAAGGAAAATATTTGTCCTCATTTCCTTTTCCTGTGTTCTAAAATACTTTGTGACCAGTAAGGCCTGCATAAATCCTTGGGAGGAACCCTTCTGTTCATCAAAAACTGACAGTGATCTAGAAAAAGATAAGAAATTTGACATGCCACCGTGTAAAGTGCTTAATACATTTATTTTGATGATCAAAGTTAAATTAACTAATTGATTTAATTAAGCCTTAATTTAGGTTTACCTTCTAAATCTCTGTGTATTAAAGTGCTATAGTACTTGCGTGCAAAACTATTTTATAACATTCTTTTCATTTGGTTAATATAACTTTTGATCTTAAGCTGCTACGAAAAGAAAATCTGGATTTGAAGTTGACGCCCTATAAAGTATTAGCCACTAGTACAAAACATGGTAAGTTTATTTTATAACATTATTATTTATTTCAGTGTCCAATGAGTATACTTTTCCTCTTTTATTATTTATTTATTTATTTATTTATTTATTTATTTATTTATTTATTTATTTTGCGGTACGCGGGCCTCTCACTGTTGTGGCCTCTCCCGTTGCGGAGCACAGGCTCCGGGCGCGCAGGCTCAGCGGCCATGGCTCATGGGCCCAGCCGCTCCGCGGCATGTAGGATCTTCCTGGACCGGGGCACGAACCCATGTCCCCTTCATCGGCAGGCGGACTCTAAACCACTGCGCCACCAGGGAAGCCCTACTTTTCCTTTTCCAATTGAAAAGTGTTAAGAATGTTAGAGATTGAACTCATGTGTAACACTGAAGACAACTTGGGCCTTCCTGACTGCTGGCCTACCTTCCGTCTCTCCCTCCCTCCCTCCCTCCATCCCTCCCATTCTTCCTTCTGTCCTTCCTTCCTTTTATACCTCTTGGAATCATTAAACAACATATTTGGAAGAAAAATTAGCACCTTTCTGATGTATTTCTTTGCAGTAAAAACTTTCAGTAGCTACAAACTACAGTAGTTTTCTTCCATGGTGATCTGTATCTGGAATCATTACTGAGAGTTACTAAAACCCAGAGAGGCTGTGCCCTGCTTATACAAGCCACTCAGCAGATGATGTTGCCTTATCCACTAATTTTTTTTTTAATATATATCTAAGTCTTTTTGATATTGAGTAACCTCTGGAAGTTTGGCAGAAGATTCCCTAGGAATGCTTGCCTAATGCCTATTGTAAATTTTATAATCTTGTTACTCTTAGAGCTTCTTACCCTTAGGTATCTTGAAGAAACAAGTACCTGTTTTATTTTAGGCTTTCTGCCCTTCTCTGGGCCACCCCCAAATCTTTTTGGTGGTTTAATTCCTGTTCCCATTTTTCTCTCAGAATGATCTTGTTAAAAGTGCAAATATTCTACCATCCTACATAGATTGATTTATTTAGCTTTCATTTGCTCTTGGGACAAAGACAAAAGCCTTAGCTTAGTTTACAAGTTCTTGCATGGTATGACATACTTCTGCACCTATCTCTGTCACCTCTTTCTTGCCACTCTCCCCCTTGCTTCTTAGGCTTTAGCCACACCAGCCACCTTCCATTTTCTCAAATGTACCGTGCTCTTTTCAGTCTTATATGATCATTGTCTTTAATATCCTTTCCACTTTACTAATTAATCTTTATTATCCTTCAAAACACGGTTCAGATGTCAGATGTCCTCTGATCCCTGTTGTAATATAGGTTTCCCTATGCTATTCTCTTTCGTTCATAGTTTTTATCCCAATAAAACTTGCAAGCTTGTAAGATCTTTGAAAGCAGGGTCAAGGCTCTATTTTTGCTTATCTGGTGAAGTTCTTGCTACATAGTAGAAAAACTATAAATGTCTGTTAAGTACATTAATGCAGACTGTTCAGTATTTATAAGAATAGATGATACATTTCTTACTCTAAAGAAATACACAGTCTCCTAATTTGCATGTGAATGATTATAATGTAAGACTTACCAAAACCAGATCATGGTTATGATCCTGAAATAGTTTCCATCGTTCAACGTTGATTTTTTTTCACAGATTTGTAGTTTTATACTTCTTTTGTTGTCCCTAGACTTACCAGATTTACTTTTTCTCTTTATTCTCCTGTATACTATCTTCTTTCCCTTCTTTTTGGTAGTTTAAGGGATTTATACTTCCCTCTTATATCATTTCCAGGGAATGGCAGAAGATGGAGTATTACACAAAGAAAGCCAATGAATATACTATAATTTTAGGGTTAGGTGATTGATATTCCACAATTCCAGATTTCTTAAAATGATTTTAAATTCAGAATAATTTTAATTGACATATGTTATAATACTATAGAAAGAAATTTTTATTCCAGATTTAAGAAGCCTAGCCTATTACTTTGTGTTCCTTGTGTATAATAATAGAAATTGGCCTTGAGAAGCATACAGATTGTCAGCTAATTTTTTTTTAAAGTTTCCTTGTATTTCCTATGATGTAAATGCCAGTGTATACTAAATACAATGTTTATAGACCTCTTTAAGCTATTAGGTTTGTAGTGTATACATTTTCAAATGAAGACTGTTCTTAGCAGAATCTTTATTTTTATTGCTTCACCAATAGCTATGCTTAATACAATGCATCTGTTTCTGTGTAGGCTTCATGCAATTTATCCAGTCAGTTCCTGTTGCTGAAGTTCTTGATACAGAAGGAAGCATTCAGGTATAGTATCTATTTTAAAGATTTATAAATTTCATGAATATATTCTTATTATAAAAATTTCAATCTTTTTAAAAAGTATATAAAGTTAGAAATGACAGTCTCTTTTTATCACCTGTCTTCCCTAAAGTTGTTTTCCTTTCCTGAGAAGTAAATAATGCTAACAGTTAGAAATGCTTCCATGGTAGATGTTCAGTTCCTTAAAATGGGCCTAACATATAATAGGAGATCAGGAATTAACTGGTAAACAAATTTTAAATTTGTTAAAGTTTATGGTTGTATTATATTTCAAAGTATGGAAATATTATAATTTATTTAGCCATCAGTGAACATTCTGATTATTTCCGATTTTTGTTGTTTGTCAGAACAGTCCTACGGTGATATTTTTGCTTGTACATGTTTTGCACAATTATTTTTTTAAGACCCTTATCCCCACCTCCAAAGTCATTTCTCTCCTTTAGTATAAGAAAAGACAAGTTTTTTCTGGGACTAAGCCATGTATATCTTTGGATTTTTTTTTGTACATTTCAAATATGTGAATTAGTGTTTAATTCAGAATTCTTATTACATCTTAATAGTTTATTTTGTTAATTTTTAAATATAATTTTTCTTTTTCCTAAGAAAAATGTATATAATTCACACAGAAAAATTGATATGCCTGAGATGAAAAATAATACAGTGAAAGGCTTGATAGAGGATATTTGCTGTAGTGTGTTTTTGTGTTTCTCAGTTTAGAGTGTCTCAGTAATTCAGTATGGAGTTTAGATTTTCAAGAAAGCGTTACTCTGTTTTGTTGGCAAAACAGGTGGTTGATTCTGTTGTTTGGTTTGGGATACAGTCATGTTCAGTGGTTAAAAGCTCACACTCAAAACATCAAACTGCCTGAGTTTGAAGTTTGGCTCTGCAGCTTTCTAGCTATATTTTGTGTAACCTTGCAAGCAGGTTAGCCTTTAGCTGGTATTTGGCTTTCTGTGAGAACTTGGCTTTTAACTGATGAGGGTGGTTCACATACCTAGACTGTTTGTACAAATAATATGATTTATAGCAAACAACCTGCTTTCCTTCTAGAATTTTGATAGTTACTGAACTAAATAGACTGTAGAGGGTGCCTGTATGAGCAGCCCCCAGTAAGTACGCTCAGTGTATGCCTTCACAGAAGACAGGAAGGAGGATTGCACGTGGAATTCACAGGCTTTGCCTGTGTATTTTTCCCACGCTGATCCTGTTGTGTATACTTTTACTGTAATGCACACTGCTGTGGTACAACTGTAAGTTGAGTCTGTGACCCCAACTAACAAATCAAACCTGTCAGAGGTGTAGGGGACCCCCTAACATACCCTTCAAGTCTCAGTTTTTATATCTGTAAAATTTGGATAATGATGAAGAGTACCTAGCTCTAGAATTGTTCTGAAGATGACATGAAATGTATGCAGAGCTTTAACACAGGTTCTAACTGAAGTAATTGTTTAATAAAGTTATCAATTATTATGTTGCTCTGTGCAATTATGATTTTGTAAATTAAACCAATGACAGTTTGTGTCCTGATTCTTAGTTTCATGTGTGATCTGTGTAAATAATTTTGCTGAGTCATAGCTTATCTTATCTTCAACTTTAGTAGATAATTAAAAATTGTTTTCCAAAATAATTGTTTTTATAAGCAACTGTTTCTCATTGCTACCCATCTTTGCCTAATCTTGGTATTGTCAAACTTCTAAATTTTGGTATTTATTATTATTTAGTTTTCATTTCCCTGATTACCTGAAAGATTGAGTATTTAAAAATACGTGTAGGCCATTTATTTCTTCTGTGAAGTGCTTGTTCATATCTTTTGCGCATTTTCATGTTGGGTCATTTGTCTTTTCCTTATTGATTTATAGGAGTTCTTTATATATTCTAGATATAGATTCTTTGTCAAACTTACAAAGTGCTCCAAAAAGCTTAAAACATAGGATAAACTTACTTTTTTAATAGTATGTTAGTTGTATTTTCAAATAATATACACTGTGTATTTTTCTTTAACATCTAGATGTAAGGGAATAGGTCCAGTTGGTAATCTGGGGTAAAAATAAATAAATGCATGATTTTCCCCAGTGTTTCCAGACTCTTTGGACACTCTAGTGTATTTATTGTGCCCCTATAATTCTTTGGTTCAGTCTTCATCTCTTATATTTATCTTTCTATCACTTTCCTCTGAATCTGAAAATTCTTAGCATTGCATTCTAATTATTTTGAAAATTGGAATGTAACTTTATTAAGTTTATTAATGGTAACAGTGTTTCAGTGGCCATACTTAAAAGGTAATTTTTAAAACTCATGTTCACTTTTAGGAGAATGTATGATACCCAGAAAACCCCTCATGTTTACATTCAAGAGAAAGGTGAAACAAACTGGTAAATTAAGTATAGAGATATAGCAGTAAGTTTATTTAATGTTTTCCCCTGTGGTATAGAAGTAGCAGGCTTTTATTTATTTGTTTGTTTGTTTGTCTTAGCCTATAAGCATAGTAATGAGACTGATTCCTGAGGAATATGCTTCCTAAAGTCCACATTTTATAATTACTGACTGCTGTACACCAGACACCTTTTTGTCATTATTTACAATTTTTAAATGCTGATTTGTTTAAGGATTGTATTGAATTTATAAACATGAAAATAATATCTTTTCAGAACTTTTTTAGAAAATATGCACCAAGTGAGAATGGGCCAAATGGGATCAGTGCTGAAGTTATGGATACTTATGTTAAAAGCTGTGGTAAGTATTTCAACTTACTACGTTTCATTGCTATGTGGAAATAAAGGAAAACAAGCTATCCTGATATTACCATACTCATACACATTTAGAACATGTTAGGATTTTTTCTAGTCCATTTGGGCTACAATAACAAAATACCAGAGACTGGGTGACTTACAAACAACAGAAATTTATTTTTCACAGTCCTGGGGGCTGGAAGTCTGAGATAAGATGCCAGCCTGGTCAGGTGAGGGCCTTCTTTGGGTCAAAGACGTGTTACTGTATCTACACCTGTTGGGAGGAGCTAGGGAGCTCTGTGGGGTATCTTTTATAGGGGGCTAATCCCATTCATGAGGGCTAAGCACCTCCCGAAGTTCCCACCTCCTGACACCACTACCTTGGGCATTAGGATTTCAGCATGTGAATTTTGAGGGGACACAAACATTCAAACCATAGCAGTTTTAAATGCTGTGCAAGAAGATTAAAAGATAGAAAATGTGAAAAAAGAGGTCATTAGTGTTTTGACATAATAGTAGGAATAAGGTGTAAATTCTGTTTACTCTTTTATAGATGCATCTTTTTTTTAAAACATCTTTATTAGAGTATAATTGCTTTACAATGTTGTGTTAGTTTCTGCTGTATAACAAAGTGAATCAGCTATATGTACACATATATCCCCATATCCCCTCCCTCTTGCATCTCCCTCCCATCCTCCCTATCCCACCTCTGTAGGTGGTCACAAAGTACCGAGCTGATCTCCCTGTGCTATGTCTCTGCTTCCCACTAGCTAGTTATTTTATATTTGAGAATGTATATATGTCCAGAACACTCTCTCACTTCATCCCAGCTTACCCTTCCCCTTCCCTGTGTCCTCAAGTCCATTCTCTACATCTGTGTCCTTTTTCCTGTCCTGCCCCTAGGTTCATTAGAACCTTTTTTTTTTTTTTTATTCCATATATATGTGTTAGCATATGGTATTTGTTTTTCTCTTTCTGACTTACTTCACTCTGTATGACAGACTCTAGGTCCATCCACCTCACTACAAATAACTCAATTTCATTTCTTTTTATGGCTGAGTAATATTCCATTGTATATATGTGCCTCATCTTTATCCATTCAATTGTCAATGGACACCCAGGTTACTTCCATGTCCTGGCTATTGTAAATAGTGCTACAATGAACATTGTGGTACTGGACTCATTTTGAATGATGGTTTTCTCAGGGTGTATGCCCATAGTGGGATTGCTGGGTCATATGGTAGTTCTATTTTTAGTACTTTAAGGAACCTCCATACTATTCTCCATAGTGTCTATATCAATTTACATTCCCACCAACAGTGGAAGAAGGTTCCCTTTTCTCCACATCCTCTCCAGCATTTATTGTTTATAGTTTTTTTTTTTTGTTTTTTTTTTTCGGTAAGTGGGCCTCTCACTGTTGTGGTCTCTCCGTTGTGGAGCACAGGTTCCGGACGCGCAGGCTCAGCAGCCATGGCTCATGGGCCCAGCCACTCTGTGGCATGTGGGATCTTCCCGGACCGGGGCACGAACCCATGTCCCCTGCATCAGCAGGCAGACTCTCAACCACTGCACCACCAGGGAAACCCTGTTTATAGATTTTTTGATGATGGCCATTCTGACTGGTGTGAGCTGATACCTCACTGTAGTTTTGATTTTCATTTCTCTAATGATTAGTGATGTTGAGCATCCTTTCATGTGTTTGTTGGCAATCTGTATATCTTCTTTGCAGAAATGTCTGTTTAGATCTTCTGCCCATTTTTGGGTTGGGTTGTTTGTTTTTTTGATATTGAGCTGCATGAGCTGCTTGTGTATTTTGGAGATTAATTCTTTGTCAGTTGCTTTGTTTGCAAATCTTTCCTCCCATTCTGAGGGTTGTCTTTTCGTCTTGTTCATGGTTTCCTTTGCTTTGCAAAAGCTTTTAAGTTTCATTAGGTCCCATTTGTTTATTTGTGTTTTTATTTCCATTTCTCTAGGGGGTGGGTCAAAAAGGATCTTGCTGTGATTTATGTCATAGAGTGTTCTTCCTATGTTTGCATCTAAGAGTTTTACAGTGTCTGGCCTTACATGTAGGTCTTTAATCCATTTTGAGTTTATTTTTGTGTATGGTGTTAGGAAGTATTCTAGCTGTGCAGTTTTCCCAGCACCACTTATTGAAGAGGCTATCTTTTCTCCATTGTATATTCTTGCCTCCTTTATCAAAGATAAGGTGACCATACGCACATGGGTTTATCTCTGGGCTTTCTATCCTGTTCCATTGATCTATCTTTCCGTTTTTGTGCCAGTACCATGCTGTCTTGATTACTGTAGCTTCATAGTATAGTCTGATGTCATGGAGCCTGATTTCTGGGCTGTGTTTTTCTTTCTCTGGATTACCTTGGCTATTCGGGATCTTTTGTGTTTCCATACAAATTGTGAAATTTTTTGTTCTAGTTCTGTGAAAAATGCCATTGGTAGTTTGATAGGGATTGCACTGAATCTGTACATTGCTTTGGGTTGTATAGTCATTTTCACAGTGTTGATTCTTCCAATCCAAGAAAATAATATATCTCTCCATCTGTTTGTATCATCTTTAATTTCTTTCATCAGTGTCTTATAGTTTTCTGCATACAGGTCTTTTGTCTCCTTAGGTAGGTTTATTCCTAGGTATGTTATTCTTTTTGTTGCAATAGTAAATGGAAATGTTTCCTTAATTTCTCTTTCGGAGTTTTCATCATTAGGGTATAGGAATACAGGAGATTTCTGTTCATTGATTTTGTATCCTGCTACTTTACCAAATTCATTGATTAGCTCTAGTAGTTTTCTGGTAGCATCTTTAGGATTCTCTATGTATAGTATCATGTCATCTGCAAACAGTGACAGCTTTACTTCTTTTCCCATTTGGATTCCTTTTATTTCTTTTTCTTCTGTGATATCTGTGGCCAAAACTTCGAAAACTATGTTGAATATTAGTGGTAAGAGTGGGCATCCTTGTCTTGTTCCGGTCTTTAGAGGATATGGTTTCAGTTTTTCCCCATTGAGAATGATGTTGGCTATGGGTTTGTCATATATGGCCTTTATTATGTTGAGGTAAGTTCCCTCTATCCCTACTTTCTGGAGAGTTTTTATCACATGTGGGTGTTGAATTTTGTTGAAAGCTTTTTCTGCATCTATTGAGGTTATCGTATGGTTTTTATCCTTCAGTTTGTTAATATGGTATATCACATTGATTTGCATGTATTGAAGAATCCTTGCATTCCTGGGATAAACCCCACTTGATCATGGTGTATGATCCTTTTAATGTGCCTTTGGATTCTGTTTTCTAGTATTTTGTTGAAGATTTTTTGCATCTATGCTCATCAGTGATATTGGTCTGTAGTTTTCTTTTTTTGTGACATCTTTCTCTGGTTTTGGTGTCAGGGTTATGGTGGCCTCGTAGAATGAGTTTGGGAGCGTTCCTCCAAGTTTGGGAGTGTTCCTCCTTCTGCTATATTTTGGAAGAGTTTGAGAAGGATAAGTGTTATTAGCTCTTCTCTAAGTGTTTGATAGAATTTGCCTGTGAAGCCACCTGGTCCTGGGCTTTTTTTTGTTGGAAGATTTTTTTTTTTTTTTTTTTTTTTTCTGTTTTACGTGGGCCTCTCACTGTTGTGGCCTCTCCTGTTGCAGAGCACAGGCTCTGGACACGCAGGCTCAGCGGCCAAGGCTCACAGGCCTAGCTACTCTGCGGCATGTGGACTCTTCCCGGACCAGGGCGCGAACCCGCGTCCCCTGCATCAGCAGGTGGACTCTCAACCAGTGTGCCACCAGGGAAGCCCTGTTGGAAAATTTTTAATCACAGTTTCAATTTCAGTTCTTGTTATTGGTCTGTTTATATTTTCTCTGTCTTCCTCGTTTTGTCTCAGGAGGTTGTGCTTTTCTAAGAATTTGCCCATTTCTTCCAGATTGTCAATTTTATTGGCATGTAGTTGCTTGTAGTAATCCCTCATTATTCTTTGTATTTCTGCAGGGTCAGTTATTACTTCTCCTTTTTCATTTCTAATTCTGTTGATTTGAGTCTTGTCCCTTTTTTTCCTGATGAGTCTGGCTAGTGGTTTATCCATAGATTTATCTTTGCAATCACTTAACTGTTTTGTAATTATAAGTTATTTCTTCCTGGAAGTTGTAATTTTTCCCTTGATTTTCCCTGAGTTTGAGTAAGCAATTAAGTAGACTGTGGGAAAAGTGTTTCAGGAATAATTATATTTTTGATAAATCTCTAGAGCTAAGATAACAGTGCTCTGTTAGGAGGTGCCTCTCATGGTATTTTAGATTAGTACTTATGGTCCCTTTCTGGAAATAAATAAGTAGTGACATGCCATAGGGATTAATTCAAATGTTTCAGCCACTTATGCCTATTCTCATGAAGTTTATATTCTAGAGGATTATTTTTTATTTTCTTGAGAGATTTTTTTTTTTTAATAACTAGATTGTTTAAGGGAGGGTTAATAAAGGAGTTGACACTAGAGTTGAGCCCTGAATAGTATATGGCATATATCATGTTATTCCTGTTTTACATAAATATTATATTTATGTTTATGTCCATATTTCTACTTAAGCAGTCAAGCTTGGGGAAGCAAGTAGAGGATTTTCTAGACATATAACAACTATATTTAAACTTTCCTATCATTTTATGGCTTATAAATTGCTCTCTTATACATGACATTTTTTTATTTTTCACAATGCTCCCATGAGGTAGTATTCCATGTTATTTTGTACTACATAATTTATTCCGAAATTTATACTTGATACATTTTTGGCTGAGAAGTATAAAGAAAATATAATATTCCTAGGAACTTTTAAAATACTGAAATAAAATGTGTGTATGTATATTCATATTCCTTGTGGTTTTAATTCTTATTTTAACCTAAGGAACATTACATGTGTTACGTGTAACTGTGCTTACCCATAAAAATGATCGCATACAGTGTATTTAGATTTTAAGACTAAAAAAAATTGAAGCATCTAAGAGAAAATGTTTCCCTTTTCTTACTCACTCTGTATTTCTCTCTCCTGTCCCTCTTTCCCTTCCTGCTTTACTTCCTTTCTTCTGTCCTTTTTTCCCTTTTCTCTTCCATTCACTTTTTTCTCCATTAAGTCTGTGTTTTCTAAGATCTGAAAAAATTAATATACTTCTAAAGGCTTGATAGATCACTCACATGGCTGGCAGCTTATACTGTTTTTCAGCAAGACTTGTCAATCAAGGCAACCATACAAGGCTTACCCTATGGCTTGTGTTTCTCAGAGCTGGGTTTCAGAAGGAAGTATTCTAAGAGACAGGAAGTAGAAACTTTTGGTTTCTGAAGGCCTGGATTGGGAAGCTGGCAGTTTGTCACTTCTGTCATATTCTGTTGGTCATAGGAGTCACAGAACCTGCCTGGATTCAAGGGGAAAGGATATAGTTCCCATCTTAAATGAAAAGCATGTTAAAGAATCTTTAATCTGCCACACCTAGTTTTCAGTACTTTATTACCTGAGATATTTTGTATACCCTCAAGCAATTACCTCGTGTCTTTTTACTTAACTTTCTGATAGTTACTGTAAATTTTTTTACCTTGTAAATCTATTTAATAAAGAAATGTTAACTTTTTCTACTTAAAAGTATATATGCACACAACCTATAAGTATTGACTAAATTTTGAAAACCCTGCTCACTTAAAAAAAGTACTGGAACAATATTTCATAATATGTGCTAAATGTCATAGTATTGTGTCTTTTATATAATGTTCCATTTTTTCCCATGAGCTAACGAAAATATGCCTTTTTTTAATGTAAAAAAAAATAGCCATTTAGATTGTACCTGGACAGTTAACTTCAAATTAGATATTCTTCCTAATAAAAGCATTTCATATTTATTCATATCCTGATAACTGATTTGATGGCAGGCCTTCTCTTCATCTTATTTTGAATTCCCTTCTGTTTTCTATATATACTGCTGTGTTACAAAATAATTTTGTGTGTTTCAGTGAGTTTGGTAGCATTCCAGGTAATGTTGCAAGTTGAAAGCCATTTGAATTTTTCATTAGAGGATTCAGTGCTTAATAAGTTGCAACATTGTACTAGAATCTGATTGTTGGGCATTATCACATAGATGCATGTATTATAACTTTCATTTTAAAAAGTAATGTTTTAGGTTTTTGGCAAAGTGTAAGAAGAATGCGATTAGTTATGGTGACATTTTTTCCAGATTATGCAGGGTGTCAAATCTATATTATGCAAGTAAATGTGGGAACACTGATTATTCTCACACTCATATCTTTACTAGTAAAGGGAGATAGTATTGTTTAGTTGTCTATATTTCTCTGTATTTTGCTTTAAGTCAAAGTTGTTTTATAAAACCAGTTTCAAGATGTTTGTGTGTGTATCTCACATGAAGTCCAAATACTAATGAATAGCATCCTTTTGACGAGATTCTCTTGGACAGGTATAGTGTTTCCATTATAGTTAAAAAATAACTTCATTTTTCCTGAAACTCTTCTGATCTACTCTGTGCCATCTCAAATCATTCTGAATATTGTTTATATCCTCAAAATTTCGAAGGATCATCCTACTCTTGCCTCAGATACCTTTTTCAAGATGTAATCTTTTATCTTTTAAGTGTTGACATTTGAATTATTGAAACACCCCAAATTCTCATCTCCACCATTTATATATATGAAAGAGAGAAAGATCATATGCTGTCTCACTTGACTTAAAAAACATTTATTGAAATGATCATCCAACATATTTATGACCTTAACACACTGAGGCAGGGTAAAAGGCTCTTTTTCATACATTTTCCATTTCCATTGGAAAATAATCCAGTAATAACAATGAAATATTACTGAAAAACCAAATTTGATGATAAAGAGTAGTTTATAAAAACATCTTGCTGGGCTTCCCTGGTGGTGCAGTGGTTGAGAGTACTCCTGCCAATGCAGGGGACACGGGTTCGTGCCCCGGTCCGGGAAGATCCCACATGCCACGGAGCGGCTAGGCCCGTGAGCCATGGCCACTGAGCCTGCGCGTCCGGAGCCTGTGCTCCGCAACAGGAGAGGCCACAACGGTGAGAGGCCCACGTACCGCAAAAAATTTTAAAAAAACCATCTTGCTTTATCAGCAGAGACAGGCATAATTCATACAGGTCTAGTTACATGAAAATTTTAGGTCAAAAATACTGTTGCTGTGTATGTGAATCATTACTTTCCTAGAGATAGCTAAACAACTTGAAACAAAGTAAATAGTGATAAAAATTAAACTAATTGTAATTTATAATTAATAAGAAGGTAACTGGTACCATGTAACAACTCAGATGCACTGATAACACAATGTTGTTCTTTGTGAAAATTGCAGGAATTTCAGCTATCTTCATATGCATATTATCAGTAGGAGTTTTGTATCCTTGACAAGTGGCAACCAGATTTCTAAGTGAATCCCTTATTAGAGAACTCAGTGTGCTAAGTTCTAATGTGTTCTCAGTTCTCTTTACCAATATCAGATTTAATATCCTTCAGTTAAGTCACTTACTAGTCTTTTAGTGGAGAGCCTTTAGTCATTTGTGGAACTGCATATTTTACAGCAGTTTTAGAGCAGTGCTACTACAAGTATAATCCAACAGCATTAGCTTCACCTGGGCACTTGTTCGTATTACAGACTCTCAGGCCTTTTCCCTGCTGTTTGGATCAGAATCTGCATAGAGGATTCCCAGGGGATTCTTAGATGCATTAGAACACTAGAGAGGGCTTTTCAAACTTTGATATATATAACAATCACTCTCTGGACATTGCCCCTGGAGATTCTGATGCAATAGGAATGAAGTAAGGCTTAAGAGTTTGCATTTTTAACAAGATTCTAGGTGGTAGTGAAACTGTCAGTCTGTGTATCACATTTTGGGTAGCAATGCCTTAGATCAAATGTCAGTCAATTTTTCCCTAAAGCCTTTCAGATAGTAAATATATTTATACTTTTCAGGCCAGGTGGTCTCTGTTGCAACCATTCAACCAGGCCATTATAGTGCTTAAGAAATATTGAAATAAATGGGCATGGCTCTGTTCCAATAAACTTTCTTTATAAAATATAAAAACAGAGGGGGACCAATTTGGGCCATCAAGCTGTATTTGCTCATCCTTTATGTAAATGACCCTCAAGTCCCCCAGTGGCCCAACTACCAGTTTCATTCAGCATCAGTTAACATAATCTAACTATAGTGGTTTACACACGTAACAGTTATATTCTTTTTTTGTAAGAAGCCCAGATGTAAGCCATTACTGTTGTTGTTTTAACTCTTTAGGGATGTTAGTGTCAACCAAGGTCTCTGATTCTCTTGGTCAGCTCCCTCTATAAAAATGCTCACCATAAAACTACATTTGCTTTCTGGACAGGCCTAACTTCAAGTGAGGCTGGGAAATGTAGTCTTTTATGTAGGTACAGTCTTGCCCCAGAAATCTTAGTTTGGTCTTCTTTTAAGGAAGCAGTGTACATAGGATATTGTGTTTTTGGCAAACTAGTAGTCCTTGTCACACTACAGACTATATTTTGAGAATAACTGATTTGTTTAGTCAACTGTAACTGATTTGTTACAGTTAAGTGAAAATTATTAGTAGACCAGTAATATGATTAGAAGCATTTTTTTGAATGATAGTATGCTATCTTTCATTCATTCTCTACATATGGATATATTTTGAAATATATATAATATATAATTTTATCTAGAATCAGGGTATGGTGAGTTATTCTAAACAAATATACTTGAGCTTAAATATCTTGTTGAATGTTGCATCCATCAAAATAACCACTTTGGGAAGGAGGAATTACACAGAGTACAGTGCAAAAGTGGCGTAAGCAATGATGTTAGAGTCTAACTTAGGTTTAAACCCCAGCCCAGTGACCTTCGACAATCCTGTTGACTTCCAGAGCCTTAGGTTTTTTAATTTGAAGGATGATTATAATACTTAACTGACATCATTAAAAGGGTTAGACATGATGAATGTAATGTGCCTAGCTAAGAACCTAGCCTTCAATAAATTGTAACTTTGTTTATAATTATAATTGAAGATTAATCTGATGATGGATGTCATTGCTTAAGCCACTTTTGGACTTCCATAATGGCCTTCAGAACCTGAATCAAATGAACTTTAATATTAATGAATTTAGACAGGATTAATTTGGTTATTAACAGGTGGTCCGATCTTTTTTCTACATAGTGTCTGAAATAAACATGTGTTTGTAAATACTGGCATAGTCATATGTGTGTTTGCAAGTTGCATTTGTTCTTAAGTTACTAATGCGGGAAACAGAACAGAAAAAAAACGGCTTCAAACAGGTGTTGTTTGCTTAAATTTTTTGAGCACTTTCATCATGCGCCAGGTTTCCAGACTTTAGAAGAGAAAGAAAAAGAGAATAAAGGTAGAGTCAGTGACTCTGCCCCTTGTCCTGCTCAGGTAATTTTTCTTAATTTAGAGGATTATGCTGTGAACTTCATACATGCCTTTACCACTCACGTGAATTCATTTGTTTTTCTATCTGCTGGCACTTCAAGATTGTTTCTCTAAAGATTTTTTTTTTAATTCTACACTTACTTTTGTTATAGTGTAGATAAGATGGTTGTGGGATGGTTGACTTCATTATGTGTGTTTCTGCAGACACTTTTTTTTTCACTGTCATTCTTAACATATCTACTTTGAAATGAGAAACAATAGACACATGTTATAATTAAGGTTTCTGAAACCTCATTTAACTTTTGATTAAAGTGACTTTTATAATTTGACAGAATTCTACAGGGTATTTTCTCTGTTGCAAATAATAATTTGAGTTTCAAGTGATAACCTCTTCATAGAGTCAAAGATTACACATTTAATTTGAGAATTTAGGTAAGAAGTCAGAAAGAGTAGTAATCAATTTGAAATTAAAGTAGCACAAGCTGCTGTTGTATTCAGTTGTATGTATAACCTGGTTTGCATGTGTTTTTCACAGTTCTTTTGTCTTTTGTTTTTGAACTGTTATTGCAGCTGGATATTGCGTGATTACATATATTCTTGGAGTTGGAGACAGGCACCTGGATAACCTTTTGCTGACAAAAACAGGTAACAAATAATGGCTAGTAGCAAATATACATTTTATATGCCAGTGATTTTTGCCCTGGAATCTACTTCATAAGAAAATAAGTTGCATAAGTGAATTTAAATTGAAGTCCCTTTATATGGTACCTTGGAAGGACATGTCAGGGAAACTCCCATCCCTTGTAAGAACTGCTTTAGTAGAAATCCTACAGATGGTCATCTAGCCCTTACTTCTCGAAATGCCTCCTTTAGTGGGAAGCCCATAATGTATGCAAGCAGTCCAATCTCTTACTGTACAGCTCTAGTTAGAATGTTTAAATGTTCTTTCTCTTATCAAACAACACTGAACTCACATTAACCTCTATCTTTAATTCTTTACCTTTTCCCCTTGGAGTTAGGTGGAATAATCATTCTCATCCTTCTTCCTAATAACTCCTTGGCCCCATGGCTTTAAACACCATCTCTGTGCAACTTCCAAACTTACTCTATTTCAATCCATTTCATTAGCTGTTTACCTGAAATCCTAAATATTATACAGCTAGTCATAAAAGTTGTTTTCTTCCTCCACTACCTGCCTGATAAGCTGCTCCTCACTTGGTTTCCTCATCTTAATAAATAGTAACATAGTATAGTAATAGTAACTCAGTTGTTTAAGCCCCAGACTTGGGAGTCATTTTTAATTGCACTATTGGCTTCATCTTACATATCGAATCTATTATCAAATTGTATCTACTGCTCACCAAAATAAATCATGAAGTTACCCCCTCTTCATTTCCACTGCTTTTATCCCATTTGAAACCACCAATATCTTTTGCCCAAACTGTATGATTAAAATCTGAACTCTTTACTGTAGCCATTGTGGCTTGCCTACACTAACAGGTTTGAATGTATGAATGTAAAATCACTCCTGTCTTGGGCAAGTACCCTTGTTGTTTCTTCTTCCTGGGAAGCTCTTCTCTCAGATCTTTCAAGACTTCGGTGAGTAAGTCTAAGATTGAATGGCATCTTTTTTTTTTTTTTTTTTTTTGCGATACGCGGGCCTCACTGTTGTGGCCTCTCCCGTTGCAGAGCACAGCCTCTGGAGGCGCAGGCCCAGTGGCCATGGCTCACGGGCCCACCCGCTCCGCGGCATGTGGGATCTTCCCGGACCGGGGCACAAACCCGTGTCCCCTGCATCGGCAGGCGGACTCTCAACCACTGCGCCACCAGGGAAGCCCTGGCATCTTTTTAGAGTATCCTTTTCTAACTCTCCAGTCAAATAATATTTATATACCTGCCACCCCACCCCTCTCCATTACTCTCTATTTATTATTCTGTTTTGTTTTCTTTATAGCACTTATCACTAGCTGAAGGTATCTTTTTAATATAATTCAACAAATGCTTATTGAGCACCTACTATATTTTAGGTATTGTTCTAGGTGATGGGGATACCAAAATAAACAGGACAGAAATCCTAGCCCTCGTGGAGCTTGTTGACTTCTTAATCATCATCCTCTCCCATTCCGGATGTAGGTTCCATGAGAGCAGGGACCTTGTCCATGCACTTTGCCACCGTGCCTCCAGAGCCTTGAACAATACCTAGCTAAAATGTTTGATAAATCATTGTTGAATTAATTAATAAATATTTCTGTTCTTCTGTGTAGCCTTTTCTTCCATATGCCAAATAATCCAAGTTTCTTCAGCCCTTCACAGAAAATAGATTTTAAAGTACACTTAAAATAGTCTCTCAGGTAAGGACATTATGTAGTTTGTTAGTATTCCTCCAAATTTTGATACCAAAATTGAGTGTAGCCTGACTAATTATTAATATAGTAACCATGTTAATTCATGTAGTCTGGAATTTCATATATTCAGTTTTAAATTATTAGTGTGAAAAATTATCTGGTAAAATTTGCATGTGGGAACCATGTCTGTATTAATGCCAGGCAGTCCCTTTAATTACCAAAGCCTGAAGGAGTATAATCAGATTGCATTGGAGGTTCTTGCCAAATTTACTAATTTAGCAAAAGATATTTATAAAAGGTTATGCTGCTGGGCTTCCCTGGTGGCACAGTGGTTGAGAGTCTGCCTGCCGATGCAGGGGACTCAGGTTCGTGCCCCGGTCGGGAAGATCCCACATGCTGCAGAGCTACTGGGCCTGTGACCCATGGCCACTGAGCCTGCGCGTCCGGAGCCTGTGCTCCTCAATGGGAGAGGCCACAGCAGTGAGAGGCCCGCATACCGCAGAAAAAAAAAAAACATTATGCTGTGTTTGGAAAAAATTATAATTTGGAAAAAGTTTTCCTGTGTTGTTTTCTTAGCTCTCTTTTTCAGTTGAATCTTTTAACCACAAGAATCAGACTTCCAAAATAATTCCATTTGTTTTTATATTGTTATCATTATAACCACAGTGGAATTCTTTAATGTATAGAGTAACATTAGATCTATGTTATATTCACAAATCTTACTTGTCTCTTCTTCTGGAAATTGATAAATAATAGAACATTTTCTGTTGGACTTTGAGAACTGCTCTGTCTTGTGTGTGTCTGTGTGTATTGATGGGGATACTTTAAGAGTAAGATTTGGAAAGAAAGGTCTACCTAATATACTTTTTTGGCCCAGGTCATAGATACTTGTATGGAAATTGAATTATAAAATTTCAAAAACAGGTTTTAAGCTTCTTGTCACCAGTTTTCCACTAGAGGGTGCTCTAAATTTTGTTTTAAGCTTACCTAAAAATGTGCTAGATAAGAGGCACATTCTCTCTCTTTTAAAACAGCATTTCTTTGAGTTATTTCTTCTTAACTGCTCTTTAATAATTTCATACACTTATATCATACAACAAGCATTTTACATCTTCCTCACTAGGATAAGTGTTTTAAATTTTTGGATTTAGTTTGAATGAAATTGGATTGTATAAGGAAAGGCCAATTATGTCAAGACAAATGGAAGTATATAATACATTCCTCAACTTCAAGAAATTTATAATGATTTATTTTAAAATGTTTGTGTGTCTACTTATTTTTTACTAACAGTCCATATTTCAGAACAGTTTCGAGTTATATTAATTACATATGTTATAATTTGACTTTGTATAGTTTAGACAACTATTAACATTTTTTTTTTTTTTTTGCCGTACGTGGGCCTCTCACTGTTGTGGCCTCTCCCGTTGCGGAGCACAGGCTCTGGACGCGCAGGCTCAGCAGCCATGGCTCACGGGCCTAGCCGCTCCGTGGCATGTGGGATCTTCCCAGACCGGGGCACGAACCCGTGTCCCCTGCATCAGCAGGCGGACTCTCAACCACTGCACCACCAGGGAAGCCCTAGACAACTATTACATATTTAAAATGAATTTTGAAGGTGTTTCATTGCAGGAAATAGATTTCAATGCTTGTGCTTAAAAATGCCTTGAATATTATGAAGCATCTTCCACTGTATATTTTGGATCCATTATGCCTTCAACACAGACCATAACATATTAAAAACTTAGAACTTTAGATTTTCTTATATAACTCTCCAGTCTCTCAGTGTTGATGGAGCTTTTATTAATGATAAATAGCATTTCTCCCATTCTTCAAAATAAGATACCTTTTGTCTTCTATTCTCATTTTCCAGCTTGGGCAGGTTTGTGTGTGTGTGTGTGTGTGTGTGTGTGTGTGTGTGTGTTTCTTGGACAGGTTTAGATGGTTTGGAATTATAATCAGAGTACTACTGATTTGTCAGTGCCCAGTTCCCTGATATGAGAGATGGAACAGAGAGGAAGGAGACACCCAGATTTCATTTCACTGTGGTCTTTTGGGGATTCACCCTAAATACACACTGTTCCGCCTGTAAATATAGATGAGACAGAAAAGGGTCAGACTAAGAACTTCAGGAATGTGTGGAGGAAAATGTTTCACCTCTTATAGAGAATTTCAAAATCTGTACAATGGTAATGTACAAAAATGCAAAATATAAGTCTCAATTTCAGATTTCTCAGAAATTTTTTGCCCATGCTTTAATTGGTTGTGGGTATTTTTAACTTGGTTGAAGTTTCCTCAACTTGTGCAGCAGAGGGCGTTGTGTGTCTATCACAAATGTAAAAGTCTGGAAATTCCTTTGTCAATATTATGGTTTTCTACAAGCATATTTTGGGGTGAATGATATTTCACTTATTAATGCATTAATATATTATTTTGGCAAGAAACTACAAAATTTAAGCTGTGATACAGGATAGGAAAAAATGAATTTTTTTCAGAGTTGCTGTTCTTTGAGGAAGTTTTAAGAAGTTTATTCAGGGTAATTCAATTGTGGCAGGACTCAAATGAAATTAGACTTGAGTTTATCTCAACTCTTTGGAAAAAGTTTTGTTTTGCTTTTCTTTTTGAGAATTTGAGGGGGGAAAAAAAGGACCAGTATAACTGAAAAACGTGCTGTTTGTTTATGATATACAGACTGTATGATATAATTAACATATAAAATTAATATGTAAATAATTGAAAAACATTCACAAAAGAGAAGTAGGAACTGGGTATCTGTAGTAAATGGAAAGTTTTTTGTAGGTCATAAAGATGGCCTTGTTAACCTGGGCTTATCTATTTATATAGTGAGAGGAGTGGTAGCTTTTTTGTCTGTGGTGGCACTTCAGAGTAATACCCTTTGAGCCTTTTGTCAGAAAGCTCACAGCAAAGAAAAATAGTCATTTTAATCCTAATTGCACATTGCTTTCAATACATCTCCTATCCTGATCTTCTTTATCATCCTTTAATTTTATGTACAATTGATTCACTTCCCTTTTTTTAATTCTGGGGAACAATTTCACATAGGAGTTAATATGTCAGGCTCTAAAGTCAAATTCTTTGTGTTTAAGTTGCCCCTCCACCATTGTATGACCGATCAAGTTATCTAATATATCTGTGTCTCAGTCTCTTCTCCTCAATGCATAAATAATAATAGAACTCTCTCCTGATGTGAGGGTTGAATGATTTAATATGGTAGAATTTGGTATGGTACTGTGCACATAGTAAACATTCCTTGTGGGCTAACTATTACGGTTTTGTTTGTGT